GATTTGCTTTGGGGGGTTATGGCTCAAATCGTTTAGGAACTAGGGGCAAAAAAGGGGGAAAAACAATGTTGTCCTGGTTAATGGACAAATACTTTAGTACAAAACATAATTTAAAGCAGTGTAAGGGAGATAAATCAAATACATCATTGAAATTATCTCCCTTACACTGCTTTTAAATTATGAATAAAGTAATGGTTAATGAACAATTAAGATAATTTAAAACAGTGTAAGGGAGGTAATCCAAATACAACGTTTTGGTTACTTCCCTTACACTGCTTTTAAATTATGTTTAAAGAAATGCATATTTATAAAGGAAGACCAGTAAAAATATCTGCAAATGTTGCATCTTTTATTTTACCAAAAAATCCATATGAAAGATTTGACACTATATTTTAAATTCTATTATAAAATAGATTAAGTTAGCACTATGGTAAATTTAAATGGGTAATTATGGTTGCAAACTCCATTGGAAATTTGATTGAGATTATGACCATATCTTGAGGGAAAGAATTTTTTTGGGGGAAAAAAAGGGGGGGGGGGTAAAAAGAAATTGTGGGGGGTCAATTTTTTCTCATTTCAGATTTCAGAAATTAAAAAGAATTATTCTTCAAATATTATTTTTTTTTTCAAATTTCAAATATTGAAAAATTTCAAGAAGTAATCTTTAATTGTACAGTATGGCGCATTAGATTTTTAAAATCTTTGACCACATTTATTTATTTGTTATGCCGAATCTAACCGTGTATTTAGATTTTTAATTTTGGGTCCAGTTTTCAAATTGGTCTACATTAAGGTCCAAAGGGTCCAAAATTAAACTATGTTTGATTTTAACAAAAATTGAATTTATGGGGTTCTTTGATATGATGAATCTAAACATCTATTTGGATTTTTGATTTTTGGCCCAGTTTTCAAGTTGGTCCAAATTGGGGTCCAAAATTAAACTTTTGTTTTATTTCAACAAAAAATGAATATATGGGGTTCTTTGATATGCTGAATCTAACCATGTATTTAGATTTTTTATTTGTGGACCCCGCTATCAAATTGGTTCATATTGAGGTCAAAAGGGTCCAAAATTAAACTTTGTTTGATTTCATCAAAAATTGAATTATTGGGGTTCTTTGATATGCCAAATCTAACCGTGTATTTAGATTTTTATTTTTGGGTCCTGTTTTTTAAATTTGTCTACATTAAGGTCTAAAGGGTCCAAAATTAAACTTAGTTTGATTTTAACAAAAATTGAATTCTTGGGGTTCTTTGATATGCTGAATCTAAACATGTATTTAGATTTTAGATTTTTGGCCCAGTTTTCAAGTTGGTCCAAATTGGGGTCCAAAATTAAACTTTGTTTGATTTCAACAAAAATTGAATATATGGGGTTCTTAGATATGCTGAATCTAACCATGTATTTAGATTTTTTATTTGTGGGCCCGCTATCAAATTGGTTCATATTGAGGTCAAAAGGGTCCAAAATTAAACTTTGTTTGATTCCATCAAATTGAATTATTGGGGTTCTTTGATATGACAAATCTAACCGTGTATTTAGATTTTTAATTTTGGGTCCAGTTTTTTAAATTGGTCTACATTAAGGTCCAAAGGGTCTAAAATTAAACTTAGTTTTATTTTAACAAAAATTGAATTCTTGGGGTTCTTTGATATGCTGAATCTAACCATGTATTTTGATTTTGGACATTGGACCATAATAGGTAAATCAAAAAAATTCAAGTTCTTAGACCACATTCTTTCTGTGTCAGAAACCTATGCTGTGTCAAATATTTAATCACAATCCAAATTCAGAGCTATATCAAGCTTGAATGTTGTGTCCATACTTGCCCCAACTGTTCAGGGTTCGACCTCTGCGTTCGTATCAAGCTGCGCCCAGCGAAGCATTTTATTATGAGTTAAACGAATGAAAAAATTCTGTGAGACAACACCAAAGTCTACACCCTACTTGTCAGATAGTTGTGTGACATTCGACCTAAATATCTACAAAGGGGACTTAAATTATTGACAAGTCGACCTAAACATTATACAAGAATTTATCTGTTTTCTTAAAAAGAGACACTTTTGGAATGTCCGAGTGTGTTGTATGTTTCACCACTGTCCCAGGTTAGGGGGAGGGTTTGGCACCAGCAAACATGTTTAACCTCGCCACATTCTGTGTTTGCCTGTCTCAAGTAAGGAGCCTGTAAATCAGTGGTTGTGGTTTGTTTCTGTATATCATATTTGTTTTTCGTTTATTGTTTTGTACATAAATCAGGCCGTTCGTTTTTTCGTTTGAATTGTTTTACATTTTTCATTTCGGGACCTTTTATAGTTTACTTTTCGGTATGGGTTTTGCTAATTGTTGAAGGCAGTACGATGAAAACCTATAGTTGTTAACTTCTATGACATTTGGTCTCTGGTAGAGAGTTGTCTTATTGGCAATCATACCACATCTTTTTATTTTTCTGTTATTTAAAGAATTTCCGAGGCCTCGTTTGCCGAGCGATCTAAGCAGTTTATCTACAGTAATCAATAGCCTGTCAACACTGAGGTTGTTAATTCGATGAATGCCGCTTGTAGCCAGGGCGTTCGATTCCGATCCTTATTTACTAGGATTGCCAGTTGGTTTCCTGTCGACGGTCAGTTGCTTTCTCTGGGTACTCCGGCTTCCTCCACCAATAAAAAAAAAAATATTGGACGCCAATTTTTATTGGTTTTTTTTTGTCTACTAAAATAATGTCTTATATTGTAATAAAATTCTGCTCTTTGTAAGCCCATTTGATGGAAATAAAACATCTTCTTCTTCTATAGCAAATAGTGTTGAAAGTGTCGTTATAAACACCAACAATCAATCAATCAATTTTTAAAGATTTCCCGTTTTACAGCACAAGATGAAAGTACTGATATATTATTCCTAGCAATACTATTGGTTAGTTTAAAAAGAGTTTTAAAATCACATAATGCTAAATCTGTTCTTTAGAAATCAATAAAATTGTATTGAAAAGAACAAAAAATTCCAAAAAAAAATATAAATACACAAAAGTTTGAAATAGAAAAATTAAAAGAATACAGAAATGAAGGACCCCATGCAGACCCTCTTACATTGGATATTTACAACACATGCATATAATACAGTCACATTAACCTTTTTACAATAAACCTATAGATTTTGAGATCATTTCCAAAGATCAAGGTTGTGGTTACTATAAATAGGCTGGCATTAGTGAAGAAAAAGGGATGGGGTGAATATTTTGTATGAGTGTGTGGATGGGGGTTTACAGAATAGAGAGTAAAGGGCAAAAAATATAAAGAATTAAGAAAAAAGGACCAAAAATATAAGAATAGAGAATAATGGGAAAAAGTATAAAGAATAGAGAAAAATGGACTAAAAATTAAAGAATGCAGAAATGAAAGACCCCCATCCCAACCCTCTTGTATTGCCCACTTAAAATGCTCAAGGAATCTATAACTAACAAAAGGAGAAATTAAATATACAACAGGTTAATAAACGTTAAGAAAGAGCTGCCACCATTTTTTAAGTGTTAGGGGGAAAGCAGGATGATTGCCAGATTGCTTCATTGTTTTAGTCCATCAATAACACGGATTGTAACCAAATATTTCATACGTCAACTTACATTTATCTGCATTCTATTCTTTCATACAAACAAACTACATTTAAATAGGAAATATATATATCACTGTTCAAATTCATTCGGACTGCTTTTCTTTGTTTTTACTTTACCCTCCCCCCTTATCAAAATATTTTATATTGATGCTAGACTTAGGTCATCTCTTTAAAATCTTTCTTTTTGGCATCCTACACATATTGAAGATTATAATCTATTAATGCTTTTCCTGTTGTTTTAATTGTGTCACATATTTTTTTAGATGAACATCAGTGTGGTAATTCATACTTTGAAGCGGGACTAAAATGTTTTTTTTTTAAATTTCTGCACATAGTTTTTTTGCCATTTTCCCATATGTGTCTTCCATTTCTATTGATGATTTTGCTGTATGAAATCTAATCTAAAGTACACCCACCAATATAAGAGGTTGGCATATTGTATACACAGCTACAGCTGTCTTTTTTTTTATGTCTGTAACTGTAAGTTGACCTCTTCTTTTTTTCTTTCTTTCTATATTGCCATCACATTGATGTATATGCTACATATTCTTTTAAACATGTTATATTTATTCCCAAACTTATTATATCATGCAGTGCATCCACAAGCAGTTGTCGGATTTACTGGTCATGACCTGCAAATTTTACTTTTACCCACCTTATGTTTAACTGACCTTGACATCAAATGAACTGCAATTATACTTCATTCATTCATAAGTATATTAGAAGCTGAATGTTTATCTATGACCTTATGTGAGGCTCAACTTTTTGTGTGCTAAATATGGGAAAATGAATAATACTGGTTCCAAACCACTAAATAAAAAGTAAAAAAATACCTGGTCGATTTCGTCTCCAACTATGATTAACTGTATAACTTTAATTTAACTGAAAGACTAAGTGGTATAAGTAGTTCATCTTAAGTGATCACTAAGGCCAAAAATGAAATTTAAATTGTTTGATGTTGCCTACCTTCCCATCTAAAAAGCAGCCTACCAGAAAAATTTTATCACACCAATCGTTTCAAATTTCTTTTTAAAAGATTTTTTCCTGCCCTAACGTTTTTTTCTTGTCTACAACATGTAACTTATGTTGTTGGCCAAAAAAAAAAATCCCTACCTTCCTACCTAACCCTACAAGGCATGGGTAGGCAACATCAAACAAGGAATTTGTTAAGGGTGGCCTAGTCTGTCAACATTGAAGTTTGAACCATGCCTATGACTAGTGCCTTGAACTCTGATCTAAATTGAATAAAATTGCCACTTTTACTTACGTCTGCACGGGTCATGGTTCTCTCGAGCTTCCTACGCAAATTTAAAGAGGACACCAAGATAAAGCGAAGAGTGGTGATAAACACCAAAAATCAATCAATCAATCAATTTAATTGAATTTATAAATATAACTAAAACAAAACTTTACTTGTATATCTTTCTTCAAAACTATATGAATAATATTCCACATAATTACATATTATATAAACCTTACTAGAAATCTCATCATAAATAACTAAATTAAATATTGATTCATAAAACAAAATTCATGACAGCATGTTCTTGGTTTTCTGCAATGCCAGCTGCAACTTGAGAATATTTGCATCAAGAGCAGCAATACCCCTTCTGAAAGACGTATCATTAACAGTTGTAGCCGTTGAGGTAGACGTTCTTTCTGATACGCTAGATATATTATCGTCAGTAATAGCACTTAATGAGTTATCTAGCACTGTTCCGTGATATAAATTGTCCTGCGGAGAAAAAGTAGACGGATTATTTCTACTACTAGTTCGAACAGGAGAGGTAAATTCTTTTGGCAGTGATGCAGCTGGAGCTGATGTCCATTTACTATTTGAATGTTCATAATGATTTGGTTGGCTGTATGAGCGCTGATGAAGACGTTTTCTATAAGTGTCACTACTATTTGGTTTACTCTGAGGATACTTTCTAAAATAGTCTGTTACACTATAACGAGAAGCTTCTGATTGATTACAGCTCTGTTGAATATTTGACGCTAAATAATTTTCCTCTTGAAAATCGTCACTGTCATGTCTATATGAAGTTTTAGAGAAATCAAAAGCAACCTTAGGATTTCTTGTATAAGCTGGAGACAAAGAACGATTCAGGTTTCTTTTGTTTTTTGCTACTTCCTCATTTCTTAGCAGAGATTGCTTTACAAAAGTCTGCTTTTTTGGTTCAGGTGATTTATGCTTTCCATTAATATTTCTCTCCCTTAATGGAACTCTTTTACTTGGAGGTGATAAACTTTGTCCCCTCCTACCAGGAGATTGTTTTCTTCTCTGCCCATGATTTACAACATTTAATTCAACTTCAGTGTCTGAATTGCTAGTTTTGAAGTCTTCAGTGTGATGAGCATCATAGATAAACATTTTACCACGGCTACCATGAGGCTGTTTTTTGTCATGTGTTGCCAATGCCTGCTTTGTTAGTCTTGGAGTTGATGGTTCCTTTGGGACTAAATACAGGCTCTGCTGAGTATTAGTGTACTGTTGGCGATTAGGAGGTTGTTTACTTTGTGTAAAGCTGAAGAAAATTAAAACTTTAAGATTAAAACTTGACAGAATACTCAATTTTGTTATGTGTTTTATGCTTTCTACAATAAAAGATAAAATTTTTCAAAACAAGAATATGTGTGCATAGGTCACCATGACCCCCTTGCAATGTCTTATTTCCATGTTCGGTGAACCAGGCAATGTTTGTCAAAACACTTATTTGTCATATATATTATACAGTTCACTTCATAATGAACATGTGTACAAAGTTTCAAGTTGATGTGACCAAAAACAACTCTGATCCAAAACAATGACCAGTACAGTTCTGGTTAACTAACAGACATATCAACCATAGGACAGAGTTACGAAGCATAGACTGGAAATCATTATGGTAAGTTTGATTTCTATTTTCCAACTCTTTAGTTTGACACAAAATCACTGAGGACTGTTCCATAAACACACAGGAAAGGAACTTTGAAATCTCAACTACGGGTGGGTGTCAAGTACAGTGAAAATGTAAGTTGTATTCTAAATTTTCCTCTATAGGTAGGTACCTCATCTTGAAAGTGCCTTCCTGGGGTTCCACAAATGTTTAAAAGGAAAAGCCTTGATTAATTTGGTTTATGTTGGATTAATCCACTATTGTAAGCTTTCATTTCATTGCTTTTTATCCGTTCCATAAAATTCAATGTGAAAAAAGTCTATTTTCTATCGAACAAATACAGGAAAGGAAAATGGTCATACCCTTGTATGTTACCCAAAAGTTCTTAGAAAAGGAGAAGGTAAGATTTGGGCTTAACCTGCCTAAAAATCTATGTACTGCAAACTGTTTACAGAATCCAATGTTAAATTCATGTACTTTAATAAATAAAGAGATGCGCCATGAGCGCATGATACACCCGTTGCTTGTCAACGAATAAAGTTCCATAACTCCTCAATGTCATATCAGAAAGTTATAAAAAAAACTAAAGGGAGCTTATTTTAATAGATATAAGCCAGTCACCAAAGTTTCATGAAAACTGCTCAAAGCATTTTTGAGTTATTGTCTGAAAACTAGAAAATCCCCCCTTTTTTGTGAATAAAACTCAGAAACATAAAATCTAAAATTTATAAAAATAGAAAGGGAGCTTATGTCAATAGATATAAACAATTCACTAAAGTTTCATGAAAATTGGTTAAAGCATTTTTGCATTATTGTCTGACATGTTGACGAAGGACAGACAACGGTATACCATAATATGTCCCATAAACACGCATATAAAAACAAATCAGTTTTTGTTTAAAATATACCCATTTTCAAGGGTTATACAACCATAAAATGACAGCTAATTTCATAAAATGGCAAAATTAAACAAAATGTTGTCTTTTTAACAGCATGCTTAATAGAAATAATAGAGCACAATCATCATCTAAAGAGATATTGACACATGAAGTGCATTTTGTGTATTTCTGTACACTGGCAAATGTTACTGTTGGTGTACCAGTGGTTTATGCTAATTTAGTCAAAATGTAACTGCAATTAGTCTGTTTTAAGCTAAAATATGAAAATCCCAAACTGTGTCATCAAAGGTAAGCCAATATTTACATTACCAAGAGCCTTTTTTAATGTTTAAAAAAATGTTATTAGTAATAGTATGATTATTTGTATTTTCAGTGAATTATAAGGCCCAATATGCACAAAAATCTACTTCTCCTTAAAAAAAGACAAGCATAGACATGGCTTTAGTCATTAAAAAGACCTTATTAGTTGAGTTGGATATTGATTCCTGAGATTCAAGCGGAAAGCAGAAAATGTTCTAATATTTCAGCTTTAAAAAGACCTTAAGGTTTATAATAGACAAAAATCTTTAAAAAACAAGAATGTGTCCATAGTACACGGATGCCCCATTCGCACTATCATTTTCTATGTTCAGTGGACCGTGAAATTTGGGTCAAAACTCTAATTTGAAAGATCATATCATAGGGAACATGTGTTCTAAGTTTCAAGTTGATTGGACTTCAACTTCATCAAAAACTACCTTGACCAAAAACTTTAACCTGACACGGGACAGACGGACAAACAAACGGAGGCACAGTCTAGAAAACATAATGCCCCTACTACTATCGTAGGCGGGGCATAAAAACCCTGTAACATTACCTTGCAACACTATCTTCACCTAGGACTTTTATCAATTTCTGTAAACTAAAGCTGTTGTTGGATACAAAGCTCTTATCTCCTACTTTACTCTCTTCTAATTCCTGGATCAATGAAGCCACACAATCTTTTACTTCACTGTAATATAAACAAAGGCAATTGGTTATACTAAAATACAATTTCAAACTTGCAACAAGAATTACATACTCTTCAATAATTGTGGATTCATTGGAGAAAAATGAACCATTTTTAAAATTGTTAAAAAAATATAAAAACTTCCTATAAGCCTATGTGAAGACTTTGTAATACCCATAAAGTCAATTATCCACAAGAATGCAGCATATTTAGGTACAGAAATAACCCAATTTTTGTATGAACATTGTCATGCTTGCATTAAAGACTTTTGCCCTTACAAAATATTTCTATATTGTCTTCTTAGGGTTGGTCCTGAAAAGTATAAGGTGGGAAGGCACTTCTCTTTTTACCCTGTTGTGCTTAAAATTTAAATTGATAATTTTATAAAATTGTTCAGGCTATCTTTCTTAAATATCTCCACCAATCAAATTTTTATAGAAAGGCTTTCCAACCCTTCCATACAATCAATTCAGGAACAGTGTTTAATACCTTTTTCTATTGAAAAAATTAATGTTGTGGTCTCTCACTTACTCAACATGGCAAGAGAGGAGAGTGATGTTATTTGTTGAAATGGGTATCTGATGCAGTAAAACTGGGGCCTTTGATTCATGAAATTAATAAGCAGCACATATCAGTTTTAAAGTCTTTGATTTGACAGGGCTTAGAATCAGAAACAAAACCTTGCTCTTCAGCATTTGAGACAAACATGCTACAAACATAACCATTAGACCCATGAATTTGAAATGATTAATACTAACAGAAAATAAAATGGCCACATCTTACTTGACGACTTCCTGCATTTTGCTGATTTCTGTATCTCTCTGTTGTACTGTGATCTGTAGAATATGGTTTTCCTGTTCCAGAGCCTCATGTTTCATCTGAATACCATCTGTCTGTCGTTGTAGCTGTTCAATCTCATGTCGAAACTTCTGTGTATCAGATAAACATTCCTGTTTAACCTTCAGCTCATCTGTTTCCTAAAACAAACAAGGTTACTAACACTTCATATTAGAAAATTTAAGTTTGAAGTCAAAAAAACAAAAACACCTTATGAGTAATCTGAGGTCAATGTCTGATGTAGATTTTATATTTTATTTGCCAGAGTTTTTAATTTAAGATGTCATTCATAGATACTGCTATGCATAATATATTAAAGGACAGCATTTGAAATATGCTCTCTGCTTTTACGGATTATCTGTAGGTCACCTTCATTACATCTATAACTCTTAATAGTTTTTTTACGTATGTTTACCAAATTTTATTTGTATTTTTATAAAATGGGAAAAAAATGCTCCGCTGGGCGCAGCTTGATACAACCGCAGAGGTCAAACCCTGAACAGTTGGGGCAAGTATGGACACAACATTCAAGTTTGATACAGCTCTGAATTTGGATTGTGATTAAATATTTGACACAGCATAGGTTTCTGACACAGAATGAACGTGGTCTAAGAACTTAAAATTTTTTAATTTACCTATTATGGTCCAATATCCAAAATCTAAATACATACACGGTTAGATACAGCATATCAAAGAACCCCAAGAATTAATTTTGGACCCTTTGGACCTTAATGTAGACCAATTTGAAAACGGGACCAAAAATTAAAAATCTAAATACACAGTTAAATTCAGCATATCAAAGAACCCCAATATTTCAATTTTTGATGAAATCAAACCATATCATTATTATTTGCTTTTATATATAAATAAAAAATAACCAACTTAAAATGGAAAATTTTAAAGAAAAAAAATAAGGAAAAAAAACAGGACCCCTCCCCCCCCCCCCCCCAATTTTTTGAACCCCCTTATGATTCATCAATCCCAACCTTCTCTTTGTGGTATGGTACCTTGTAGTACAATTTCAGAGAGATCCATACACTTGAACGCAAGTTATTGTCTGGAAACTAGAAAAATGCTTGTTTTTTGGCCCCAAATTCCTAAACATTTAGGGCAATTACCCCCAAACTCAAACCCAGCTTTTCCTATGTGATATGGAACCTTGTAGTACATTTTAATAAAGATCCATACACTTACACACTAGTTATTGTCCTGAAACTAGAAAAAGGCTTGTTTTTTGCCCCTTTTTGGCCCCTAATTCCTAAGATTTTGAGGCAATTACCCCCAAAATCAATCCCAGCCTTCCCTTTGTGGTATGGTACCTTGCAGTCCAATTTCAGAGAGATCCATACACTTGAACACAAGTTATTGTCTGGAAACTAGAAAAATGCTTATTTTTAGCCCTTTTTTGGCCCCTTATTCCTAAACGTTTTGGGCAATTACCCCCAAACTCAATTCCAGCTTTTCTTTTGTGATATTGAACCTTGTAGTACAATTTCAGAAAGATCCATACACTTACACACAAGTTATTGTCATGAAACTAGAAAAATGCTTGTGTTTTGCCCCTAATTCCTAAAATTTTGAGGCAATTACCCCCAAAATCAATCCCAGCATTCCCTTTGTGACATGGAACCTTGTGGTACAATGTCAGAGAGATCCATACACTAACACACAAGTTATTGTCTGGAAGTTACAAAAATGCTTATTTTTGGCCCCTAATTCCTTAACTGTTGGTACCATAACCCCCAAAATCAATCCCAACCTTCCTTTTGTGGTATTGAACCTTATGGTAAAATTTCATAGAGATCCATTCACTTAAACTAAAGTTATTGTGCGAAAGCCAATGTGTCTTTGGACAACGACGATGCCAACGTCATACCAATATACGACCGCATAAAAAACAGTACTGAAAAAAGAGTACCGTAATTGTGCTTGTATAGTTCGCACTGGTACATAGTTCGCACCCCCCTTTTCTCCACAAAATTTCAGGTAAAAATTACTTTTTTTAACTGTTAAAAGGTCTAATGAAACTCTGGTAATTTTAAATCGTGTGTGGTCGTTTGCGGTATTTTCTTGGAAAAACCTATTTTCCATCACCAAACAAAAGCTGAAACTGCTTGTAAATGGTTCTAAAACACTTTACGCTGGTTAAAATAAGTCTAAATCACACAAAAAACAATTTAGCAACTTGTGTATGTTTAAACCGGAAGTTTGAAAAGCAAGTGTAAAAGATGAAAAAACCCGGTGAGAGTCAAAATCTGTACATACTAGATATCACTATAATACGACTTTGAAAGTAAAACAGTTCCCTCCTTATGTAAAACAGTGTTTAGGTAATATATCTATCACATTAATGTTTGAAGGGTCTTAAGCTAATACAAAACATGTTTATCAATAGGAAACACCAAAACGGAACGAATAATAACCGATTACGTTTGTAGTTTACACATCATAAGCTGGTTTACGTGTCTTTTTTTACTTTTTTTGTACGATTTCATTCAAGCAGATACCAGTTTATATTTAGCAATGCATTGAAAAGAAACGAGAATTTTGTAATGAAGCATTTAATTTTTAAATTTATCAGTATTAATTTGATACTGAATAAAAATAACTTATTAATATGGATTGGGTAAAATTGTTGGTTTGAAAAATGATAAGAGCGCCCTCTGCAATGTCAATAACAAACATGGCGGAACGTAAACAAACCACATCGCGAAATTGAAATTTACTCTCTTATTTCTTGCTTATTGTACTCTATAGTCCGCACCCCTGCTGTCAGGGTCAATTTTGGAGAATAAAACCGCGGACTATACAAGCCTTTTAATGGTAGACGCAGTCAATTGAAGATTTGACAGTCACAAATACAGTTTTACTGGCAACGCTTATCCATAAATATGGATATTATTTCAATGAAATGGTGTTTTTGAGCTAGATGTTGCTTTATTTTTCATTATGTTGTATTAATCAAACAATGGAGGATTCCTGCAATTTAATATGGCGTCTTCAGACTTGTCAATAGTTGATTTGGCAGTAAATTCTAGCCTAAAAAAATGTTACATAAAGATTGTATTATAGTTCTATAATCCTAGTAGTTTGGTATGTGATTAGACAAACAGAAAATTTGTAAGGGTTCCGTGGAACCCAGTGTCTCGCCTACTTTTGCTGTTAATCGCAGGCTCAACAAAAATGAGATGAGGAAAAAATTTAATAAAAATATTCCTCTCGATACAATTTTTTTATTGTAAGAAGCTTCTGTCCAAGTTTGGTAAAAATCCAGGATATTTTATGAATCTAATAAATGTTTTAAAAAATTTAACTGCAGACTGTATGTAATATTAACTGGAAGAAAAACTAAGTCCATTTTTATAAGTAAAATACGGAAAAACAGGAACTTTTTTTTTTACAAAATTTACTTCTGGATACTATCTTATGATCATAAACAAGCTTCTGTCCAAGTTTGGTAGAAATCCAGGATAGTTTAAGAAAGTTATTAAAATTTCAAAAACTTTAACCACAGAGTGAATATTTGTGGACGCAGTCGACGACGACACCGATGGAATGTAGGATCGCAATGTCTCGCTTTTTCGACAAAAGTCGAAGGCTCAACAAAAATAAAATGGCCTTTTCACGATGAACAAAAAATAAAAAATAGCTGACACGTTGCTTTTTATACCAATGAAATATGGTGAATAATGAGCTCCAAACCACTGAAAAAAAAATGGAAATAAATCTTTAACCTCTGCGTAAAGTAATGCAGGACAGAAAAATATCTCTACCTTTTCACTGAGAGCAGCCAGAAGTTTATTTCTTTCTATTTTCATTCTCATTATCTGTGAATGTAAATCCTTTAGTTCCATAGCTAGCTTTACTTTGGTCTCTTTCTCATCTTTAACTTGTTTCTGTAAAGCTGTATTACTGGCTTGAAGGTGTATGACTGAAAAGAGAACAAACCTCTCATAGTGAGCAACTCTTTCTTCAAAAGACCCCAGTCAATGAAAAGGCTAGGCCGTACTTTGACCTATAATTGTTAACTTTTTATACATTGTGACTTGGATGGAGAGTTGTCTCATTGGCACTAATACCACATCTTCTTATTTATATAGGCCACATTTCCATAAAATGGTTCTGAACTCCTCCAGAGTTTATTGAAGAGTTATTAAATGTTTCAAATATGAAAGGTATGTGAAGGATGTATAGCGGAAATAATTTAAACACTTTAGTAGAGCTAACTCAGTTACCCACATTCATACTTAACAAATAGATGGAAATCTCACTTTCCAATAAAAAAAACGTTCCTATTCACATTGTTCTAAAAATCAAAAGCATTTCAAGATTTAAATTAATTACTTTCTAATTTGTCAGAGAAGAATTCAAAAGATTTACTGTGAAAAATGAAAACAAATATCTTTCAGCACAATGTTTGCCTATAACCTTAAATATGGAGAGTAGATTTGCTTCCCTTCTCATTTTTCCAATGACTGAATTAATTCAAGGCTAAATAAAAAGTACTCATCTAAAAAAAAACTTTTCTTTTAAAATCTGATGTGTATCAAACAAGAAATAATTGAGTTTCCATTTTCCCCATGTGTCCTTAAATTTTTTGATTACTATAAATTCAGAACTTAATTCTTGTTTATTATTTCTCATAATTTACCATCAAAGTCTAGGGCAGCTTTTTCTTTCACAACTTCTTTTTCTTTAACTTTTTGGTTAACTAGTCTCAGTTGTCTGAAAATGGATTAAAATAAAAACATAATTGTAAGCATCACAAGATGAAACATTTGAAAAATTCAAATAGATTACTGTTGTGCAAGCATCATTTGTTTAACTGGCTATCTACAGTAAACTATGTTCTTTATTCTGTATCTGAACAACACATTAATCTTGAAAATGCTGTCCAAAAGGTTACATGAAATGATCTATGTGTATTGAAACATCAAACTTAATTTTTTTTATATCCAAGAGTAAGAAATGTAAGCTTTTACTTTCTTATTCTGGTAGAACTTATTAGCTACCAAGAAATTATATTATTGCATAGCAATATAATATTTCCCACAGAAAGTAACCAAAAGTTAGTGTGCAATAAATTCTGATATTGCACTAGTGCAATAAATCTTCAAAATTTATGACGTCATCAACGACAAAATCTTAGTTTAAACCAATTTTTACTTTCAAATATTATATTGCTATACAATAAAAGGGTTATTGCATGAATATTGGGGAATATTGTCCCTCGTAGAACATATATTGCACTCGCAAGCTCATGCAATATAAAATTCTACTCGGGACAATATTCCCCAATATTCATGCAATAACCCTATATTACTATGTATGTGAATTTTGTGGCTGTAACATACAGTATCAAAACAAACCTAATTTGACAATAAAACTTGAGATTTTAATTTCTGTGTAGAAATTTTGTGCTCTTAGTAACCTGATGCAAAAAATCACTGAAGAATTTTTTCTCTTCAACAGAAATCACATACCTCCTTAACTGACAATTCTCATTTCTAAGTGGTTGTAGACACAGATCAATTTCCGCCATTAAATTAAATTTACTACTGAGTGTTGGTATGGTTTCTATGGTTTTCTCAACTTCCTTTACGAGTCTTGATACTTCAACATCCTCTGAAAACATAATACACTTTATTTATCTAAAATTGTCTTACTGCATCCATGTCATTTGAAAACAACATGACTAGAAGTACACACAAGGTGATTCAGTCAAAATCACTCTAACCAGAGTCAAATGATTCACTGATAAATGACAGAATTCTGGTGATTTGAGGTGATATAACTTTAAATACATATAAATATACAGAGATATTTTAGAGTGATTTACTAATTACAATCACTAATATTCACCATTGTTCACCGTAACAATTCACCACCAAGAGTGAAACTTAAGTGTACTGTAGATGTAACAGACTAAAGCAATCTAATAAAAAGATTTTACAATTTTGAATAAAAAATAAACGTGCTGTTTGAAGATTATTTAGTTTCATCCTTTCTCTGTGAAATCTTAACAATTTATCAGACTTGTAATTTTCATCAGGAGAAACTTCAACTCATTGTTGTACGACATCAGAGGAGTGAAATTATAGTTTTTATTTTACTGGGAAATCATTAATTTATTGCAACCAATGTAATAAGTCATTTTAAATTTCCAGTTGCAAGATTGTAAAGTATTTCAGGGCCTTTTATAGCATACTATGCGGCATGGGTTTTTACATTGTTGAAGGCCATGTGGTGACCTATAGTTGTCAGCTTTTACGTTCTTATCCTCTGGTGGAAAGTTATCTCATTGGCTATCATACCATATCTTCTTATTTTCATATTATATTCCAAGCTGAACTTGTGTCGGTCTAAATATTTATCATTAATACTTACTGCCAATATTTATCATTAACACTTACTGCCAATATTTATCATTAACACTTACTGCCAATCTTTCCACATTCCTTTAATTCTCCCAATAGGTATCTCAATTTCTTCAATCCAGCATCCATTTTGACTTTACTCCATGGATTTGCAATATTGGCATGAGTTGTTTCCCCTTGTATTTCAACAGCTTCGTGCTGTTTATTTGAATTTACTTCTTTTGCCTGTTGTTGTCTGTCACTTTGTCCTCTTAAACTTTCTGGTTGGCAAGTTGTTGTGGCACCTGAGGCATTATTTACATTATGTAAATTTGAATTTGGCAAGACTGACACTGGAATAAGCTGAAATGAAGAGTTATTGCCCATTAAACCTCCTTGAGAAGTCTGAAGAAGAAACATTTGCCCTTGACCCTGAGAACTTTGTCCACTTATATTTTGACCTACTAGATTCCTGTTACCCTGGTTACTAACATTCTGTTTGTGGTTACTTATGTTTCTCTCATTGACAGAACTTGTACATGTACTCTGTCCTTGGAAAAAATTGCCAACCATATTTGAATCTTGTTTATTGTTTACATCAAAATTCTGTTTTTGACCTCCTGAACTATGTGGATTATCCTTTTTCTCCCCTGGATTTTCTTTTGACTTGTTTCCATCTGAGTTTTTATTGCTTGTTGTATTATGAACACTTTCTGTGTTTATGGAGGATTCTGTTCTGGGTGTCATGGTAACAGAAGTTGTCCGCTGACTGAGTGGTGTAATTGTATGATGGGGTGAATTTGTCCCGGTTATAGAGGACAAAGTTTCCTGTGTCAATCCAACTGAAGAGATCTTTCTCACTCCTTGAGGAACCGATGGCCCATTATCCCTCTCTGGAATTTGGAAAGCATCAGTAGCTAAATAGCTGCCTCCTAAATCATTCTGTACTGGGCTTGGTGTTTTCCTTTTAACTTGTCCTAACTGTTCATTAGCAGATGCCGTTTGACCTTGACCCTGCACATTAGCAGGTCTGATTTGGAACAGTCCATTTTGTAACTGGAAAACAGGGGTGCCAGGGGGTAGAGCATTACCACTTGTTCCCCCTTTTGGCCATGGCAACACAACATAATCAGTTCCACTTGAATTGATACTTTGTTGTCTAGAGATTAAGTGTGAAATTTCTTTTGCACCAGAACTGCCAGATGAATTTCCTTTCGAATCATTGCTGTCTTTCAGGTTTTTTGCATTTACAGAAAATCCTGTTGATTCTCTTGGTATATATGCCTGATAAGTTTGAATATCACTATCACGTCTTGCCCAGTTCTGAACATCAACATTCGTATAAGTATTTGATGTAGGTATAAAGCCTGAACTTGATGTATTTACAACTTCTTCTGTGTTTCCTTGGTGACCAAAAGTAGCAAATTGACCATAGCTACCAAATGGTATGTTTATACTTGTTGCAGTTGTAGGCAAACTGAATCCCTGTTGACTATGAGTAATTGAAGGAAAATTTGGTCTATTTGTAGCTGTTTCCTTGGTTATTGGACCAGAGCTATCTCTTTCCGGAACAGTCTGGAAAATGTTGCCTTGTTCTGCCAGGAATGTTGCTTTTTCTGGATCAGGCGTGGATGAGGATAATCTCTGATTGAAAGGGGCATTTGTATCAGACTGAACAGATTCTGAAATTAAACAATATAATATGTATTACCCATTGGATAACAGTATAATAACATGAATTAAATGGTATAAAGCATAAAATGTACAAATAAAAAAAAATCTATGTACTGCATGGCTTTTCACTACACCAATCTTAAATTACTCACTCCTGAAAAAAATCAACACTCAAAGCTTTTCAGTTGTTTGCCTCCACCATCTGTATGGAATATTAAAATTGATAATGGAAATGGGGAATGTGTCAAAGAGACAACAACTCGACCAAAGAGCAGAAAACATTGTATACAAGGCATTCTACAGAACTACTGTTTCACTTTGATTTATTAAACTGCCATGCAATATTTTATTATTGAATATTAGATATTTAACATGTTTAAGCATACTATATATAATAGTTGATAACTTCTACATCATTTGGTCTCTGGTGGAGAGTTGTCTTATAGGCAATCATACCACATATTTTTATTTTTATTTCACAAATGATAAAAGTGCTGCAAGAGAAAAGAATTGTTTATATTCAGACATTAAAGGACTATAAAATACTATTCCATTACAAAATAAACCTTTACCCAGTAAACAAAGAATGCTTTTTCTGTAACAAAAAGATTTACCTTCATAGCAGGAACTGACAAATAACATTATGTATAATTCTGTTGTCAAAATTCTTAAGCATGGTCAATTTTAAATAGTATCTTCTACAGATCTTTGGGAACATTTCATTTTGTACTTTGTGATTGTTTATGACAATTAAAATAAATTTCCTATTGCATCACAAAAGTAATAAACTGTTATCACAGAGATATGTCTCGCCTTTTTGTAATTTTGATAATGCAAATGTTGAAATTAAAATAGCAATACTTTAACATGTAAGTTATGCAAATATTCAATGTCGATGAACCATGACTGAAGGTACATGGCTAAACAATCTCCAAGGAATGAGATGTGCCAATGCTAATACAACTGCATACCAAATACCATTGACTTATTATAAGTCATTCCCTTTAAACAAACCTAAACACAAACATTAACTTGTAAACTATGTAAAAGTTTCAAAGTCAATGAACCATGATCAGGGGTGGGGCTATATAATCTCCATGGAAACGATAATTGCAAATGCCAATAAATTTGCATATCAAATATCACTGACTTAACATTAGCAGTTCATCTTAAACGGATCTAATCACAAACTAATACATGTAAACTAAGCAAAAGTTTCGAAGTAAATAGACCATGACTGAGGGGGCGGGGCCAAATATTCTCCATGGAAATGAGATGTGCTAATGCTTATACAACTGAACACCAATTAACATTGGCCTACCACTAATGGTTCCCCTTGAACTGACCTAATCATAAACTAATACATGTTAACTTAGCAAAATTTCCAAAGTCTATAGACCATGACTAAGGGGGCGGAGCCAAATAATCTCCATGGAAATGAGATATGCCAATGCTTATACAACTGCATATCAAATATCATTGACCTACCACTAGTGGTTCCCCATAAATTGACCTAATCACAAACTAATACATGTAAACTATGAAAAGTTTCAAAGTCAATAGAACTTGACTGAGGGGGCGGGGCCAAATAATCTCCATTGTAATGAAATGTGCCAATGCTAATACAACTGCATACCAAATATCATTGAGCTACCACTAGTGGTTCACCATGAACTAGACCTAATCACAAACTAATACATTGTTGACGCCGCCGAAACAGCATACCTATGTCTCGCTTTTTGACTCTGTCAAGGCGAGATAATAAAATGCCCTACTTATAAATTTTCAAAATGAACTCATTAAAATATGGGGAAAAAGGGTAAGCAGGGGCCTAGGCTGGCTACTAAATTTTTGCTGGGCCCCTTAATTTTAGCTGAAAATACAAATAGCCAGTCAGGGTACTTACTTACCGGTAAATGAATGATTTCTATATCACTGATTCAAGTAACATTTTGTTCACAAATGTTGGAAGTAAGAGTTGTCTTTTTTAATAATCACCTATTTAATAGTACAAATAAATCACTAGACTAAGTGATTTAATTTTATTGTAGCTTTAAATATAAGATACTTATGATCCAGGGACTAATTATGTTGCTAAAATTATCAGAACCAACATCTGTGTTGATAGGATGACCGATCATGTCAGGTGATGACCTTGTACTGAATCTGGGATAATAACATGAAATTCACTTGTTTAAGTATCATACCTCTCTTTTCTTCCAAAAAATCACTTCTTTAAGTATTATTATTTTAATTACCCCCACTAATTTTAACACCCCAGAACAGTGAAATTTTGATCGCGAACACTAAAATTTTATAACATAATCTGTAAGATGAAACCTTGAATTTTACCGGAAAAATACTACCACTGCTGGGAAAAATCTGTTGAGAAAGTATCAGTTCATTATGTAAAGCCTTCATTATAGCATTTTTTTCAACAAATATAGAATTTACAGCTAAATGATTGCATCAAAGGCATAAACCTTGCTACTTAAAAGAAGCAAAAGGTTCATTTTTTTTTTCAATTTTACTAATTATAAGATATAATCTAAACCTATATGTTTAAAATTTTGGTAAAACTACAAAATCACAATTTATGACAAAATTTCGAAATTGCTACTTAAATAAGTGATTTTATAAATCACTTATTTCAGTAATTCCACTGACTGATAGCTCTTATGTATATCTTTCATTTGGTGCCAGGTTGAGCCCCTTAATGTCTCCAGCATACAAAAGTAAGTCACTCATAACAAAGGTAAAAATCAGAAGTGCACAACATCAAAAGAACAATCTTATGTGTATAGTCACATAATAGTGCATACAGCCATATAATTGTGATTTGTGAATGTGCCAGTACATTTGAAAGAAAGATGATTCAATATTAATTGTAATCACACAATTTAATTTTACACAGATATACAGTATAGTAATTGTTAGTTATAATGATCTGGTTTACCGATTGCTGAACAGAGAGAGTCCAATTCTTGAGAAATAACTGTAAAGAAGTATAAACTATGCATTTAACTTAAAGGTTTACAGCAGATAAACTTGAGTGAGTACATACAACAATCATTGACAGTGACATAAATTTGCTAGGTGGACCATAAAATCAATATATCCTTTGACAAAGCAATCCAACAGCATAAAATATTATAATACATATTTTGACTACAATTTTCTTGCATTGATCTTGATAAAACCTGGAGAATTGGCGATTTTTAAGAGATCAGATAGAAGCACCCTAAAGCATTCATATAGTACACTTTTTTTTTAAAAGAACTTTTCAGTATATATATTTAATCAATGTGTGGTTCGTTTGATCACAGTTCTTCATTAGTCAAAACTCAATTTTGACATCAAATTGTCTTGCTTTCCTCTGAATTTCATTTTATGACGTCACTAAAAAAGGCGACCATGTCTGATGACGTTACAAAGAAAGAACACATCTGTTTGCAGATCATTGGAAAAGTAGAATTAAGTTTGTCTGCATATCGTCTAAAAATCAATAATAGAGCATCAGATTCTACCACAAAATCTCGTGCAATATGATATTTCTCCACTCTGTACAGTTAAATTTTAGATATTTAAAAAACTCGGCAAGCCTCGTGTTTTAAATTTGAAAAATTTAACTGTCTCAAGTGGAGAAATATTGTATCACACTGAAAGCAGTGGTAGAATCTATATATATATATATATATGTTTGGATATTATATTTTATGGATATTGATAGTAGTAACCAAAATGGTTATTGCAAATATTTTCGATAGTTGTTGCCAAAAATTTCATAAAATTAATTCAATCATTTAATCAATTCCTTATTCTGTCTAAAAATCTAGCCAATGTGCAGTTGAATATATCAACAATTTCAAACAAATGTAAAATAGCAAAACAAACCATGTGCAAAAAGCAAATCAGCAGACCAAAACAAGCAATGTATGCTGTGAAAAAAAAAAAAGGCTTCTGAATACAACTCAAACAGACCCATACAAGCAAAACAAATCAAACAGACCCTGATCATATGCAGAAGGTAAGACAACAGTTAGTCTATTAGAATGAAAGGAAGGATCTGTTTGTTGACTGTCATCAGAAGACGCTAATTTATCTATACAATGTTGGACATGATTTCCTGTCACTGAAAGTATAATATTTATACATGTTTATATGAACTGACACTTACCCTGAATTTTAAAACACCAGTGAAAATTCATGGGCTTGACTATGAAATGATAAATCATAATTATAATGTACTTTGTGCCACAACTTTCTAGGTACCAGTCTTGTATTATAACTCCAGTTTCTTGTACATGTCAAAACACAGAGTGAAATAAAATAGTCCATTTTTTCTGATTTTTTTTCTGGACTCAATTTTTTCTGTTTGATTAAAAGTTTATGCTGAATTGAAACGTCTATTTAGACGTAAAAAAAAATGTTGCATCTCTTTTGGGATATCAAACCAGGAAAGTGGAAGGATATCATGTTTACTGGAAGTGGTACAGACTAGTAAAAGCAACAAAATAAGTGGTTTTGACTTCAGGGTTTCATAACTTTCTATTCTTTGTGGCATGAGGCACTTTTTTTTCCATTAAATCATAATTTCACATTACAACATACAAGATATGTGCATGAAAAAAATTTCTATGTAGCATTTTATTTAAAAAAAAAATCAAAGATCAGCTGTTTTGCATGTAAGATTATGGAGCAGTCAATTACAAAACTGCCACCTTTACTGTTTCTACTGTTAAAACGATTATCATATGTTTAACTACAGTGTAAATCGTTATTTTGCAGTGACAAAAATGGGTAATCATTTATCAGTAAATCATATTTTTTTTACAGCCAATACAAACTTGCTCTTTGTCTCATCTATTCTAGAAGTATTTAGAAGAACAATACAATAGGGAACAAGGTTAAAACACTTGCTTTCTGTTTCTCTCTCTCTCTAAATTCAGGGGTACAACTGAATAATATTGAAATCAAATTTATTTTGGCAGATATTTCTTTTTCACTATTAGCCTTTTTAGTAAATTTTGTAATATTTATTTTTGTGGTTTTTAATTTTGCTTTAATGTATTCATTTAAGGGAAGATCCAAGTTTGACATAGTGGCTTAACTTTTCTGTAAACAAATGTAACATAAAACGCTTAAAAAATAAAGTGGTTTATAGTAAAAAAAAAGTCAGTATCCATTTTGAATCAACATTGCTTTTGTTTGTTTTTTTAAGTGTAATTTTATATATGGTATGGTCAAAATTAAGCATGTATACTTCAGGTTTAATACAAAAGAGACGACCATGTCTCTCACATAAATTGAAATTCAGAAATACATTAGATGGCAAATTTGAGATCAAACTATCAAATACATTCCAAAAACAGCTCCTGCATTGTCTTAATCAATATAGGTTTAACAAGAACAAGAAGACATTCTCATTCTGACCACTATAAATAAAATAATAGATGAATGGTAGGGGATATTGAGAAAGGTTTCTATCATTACAATTTTTGTATGTCCAGTCTCTGCAACAAAGACAAGTTTTGGTGGTGACTTCAGTTTTCTTTCTAATTTTGGATGAAAAGGTTCATGGTAGCCTAGGGGAACAAGAGGTAAAGTACATCAAAGTATGTTTATGATATCACAGTAATTGCTGGTCCCCAAAGTCAGTGCTCAGAGGGGCAAATTCTACATTGGCATTGACTTGTGGTTAAGAAATCCAATTTGATATATATATATATATATGCCAGTCTTCACACTCAACCACAGACCCACCAGTCCAGGCTTGTAAAAATGCTGTTGGGCATGTAAAAATTGTCTCTACAGGCCAATAGAATCTAACTTAAATTTTCATAAAATTCAGCTTCAGGCCTGTAGATTCCAAAGTTCATTGTGAAGACTTATATGCTTTCCTTATATTTGAATGCACTTTTTTATTGTGCATTTAACTGATTTTCATGTGACCAGATCTGATGTTTTAATTTGTTATTATGAACATATATGCATACTACACATAAAATTTACTTACTTACTTACTAGCTATATACTATCAACGACACAGAGGTAAAATTTTTGATGAGGGGAACAATTTTTTCCTTCAGATGTATCCCTCATAGCAAGGAATTTATAAGATCCTTAATTTTTGGTCGGGTTGTAGATCAAAATTGAAACAAGTGAATACATTCATGAATTTTTGCTGAATTTGTAATATTTTTGTTCATGTATGTATAAAGTATTTTTCCAATGGTTCAAATTATATTTTATAGAAAAAAAATATTTTCCTTCAGAAAACAAAACTGCTTCGGAAAGGACTAGAAAGCCAGAAGGGAATTGCACCCCTTTTTTTGCGGGGCTAGCTGGTAGTGAAACACTAAAAAATGTGTTTTTCTTGAAATTCAGGATCGTGAATCTTAAATTTGTGTATAATTTCTATAATATAGCAATAGACAAACAAGAATGTGTCCATAGAACACAGATGCCCCACTCTCACTATCATTTTCTATGTTCAGTGGACCGTGAAATTGGGGTCAAAATTCTAATTTGGCATTAAAATTAGAAAGATCATATCATAGGGAACATGTGTACTAAGTTTCAAGTTGATTGGACTTCAACTTCATCAAAAACTACCTCGAACAAAAACATTAACCTGAACAGGGTCAAACGGACGAACGGACAGACGAACGCAGACCGAAAAACATAATGCCCCTCTACTATTGTAGGTGGGGCATAAAAAGTGGTACAATGCAAACCTTACCAGCTGCATTAAGTGCTAAACCTGTGTTATTATACTAAATAGCTACAACAAATACAAACTAATACCTTTTCTCCTTTCTTTCAGTCTGGCAAGTAGTTCACTACACGTATCAAAGTCCCCATTAACTGAATTGTCTGATGTTGCAGAGTATAACGAATATCCAGCTGACACAATAGGAGCTGGTTTTACTTTTGTCTTTTCTTTTGCAGCAGATTTTGGCCTTCAAAGTAGTTTATGATCATAGTTCAATAGAAACTTTATACAAGGTTATATATTAAGATAGTTAAATATGTTTTAAATATATTTTTGGATTACCTAACACTTGTTTTCATGTGCATCTAAAAGAAATAGTTGTATGAAGCAAAATGGATGCTCCAATTATTGAAAGTGTAAAAACCGAACCCTTAATTTCACCCAAAATACTGTGAAATTTGATACATTTCTCAAATTTGTAAAAGAATGAGTTGTACTCCTTATTCTAATTCTAAACAATAAAATTACATTGTAGTTTCCTTTTATTTTCTTATTTCTTTAGTCATTAATCAGGAACTGCTTTCTCTTCTGCCATACCTTTCCCAAAGTTTAAGTAAGCTTCCAGCTAATATAATTTGGAGAACTGATGCTGGTCTTTTTTATTTTAGGTAACGATTTTGTCCATGATTTGGCACATCCTTAGTTGCCCTCTTATTTTCTTCCCTAACATACACCCGACATGCCTGATAGCTACATCAAACATTCATGTGTAACAAGATTTGTTTAAGACCCTAATCCATGTTTTTCTAATCATGAAAAAAATAACCTTTTTACTGGTGCTCCTTTTACTCTTGATTTCACTGCAACTGTCTTCTGCTTAGGAGCCTTTAATTAGAAAATATAATGTTAATCACTAAAATTTGAAATTGTTATTAGACCTGTCAAAATTAAGTTTGATCAGTAACCTAAAAATAAAGGTCTTTTCTTTTTTTAGTTGCTTTTTTGTGCTTTAATAGAATGGATCAGATGAGTCTAAGTTCTTTCCAGCTGATTTTTACAGTTAGTTCTAATATTGTTCTGTTTCACCACTAACCAAAACTTTAGTGCATATAAACATGTTTATCCAACCAATTTTTTTCTTTTTGTGCTTGTGCATGAAGTCCAAGGGTTGTTGTGTCATTTTTTGTTTGTTATTTGCTTAAAAAAGGATTTTGGTTTTCTCTATTGATTTGTTTCTTGTTTTTGTAATTCAGGGGCCTTTTATAGTTTACAAATGAACTATACAGTATGGTTTATGCTCATATTGTTTGATTGCTGTACAGTGACCCGTAGTTGTTTACATCCTTTTCCTCTGATCTTTATTTTAATCGTGTAATATTTCTTGTAATATAAAGCATTTTTTTCTTAAGTACATGTCTTTAAGGTGTATATAAATTACTTAAGTTTCAATCTTTGTAAGAATCAGGAAATTGTAATAGAATTTCAAACATGGCTGAAAAAAAACAGCTAACCATACCATCCTATTTTGAAGTTACCCTCATTCAGAGTAAGAAATGGTATGTCTTTTGTTTCTGTGTGTCTGGTAATTTGAAAAATCTCTAAATAACTTTTGGTTAGAATAATAGTAAATGACGGAGTTATTTCCCCTTAATTGTTAATTTCTAGTGCATTACAATCAAATGATATCTTGTAATACAAGAACAGTAAAAGGAATTGAATGTTATATTCATGCACCATTATACATTTTGAACTTATATTGATGTAAAGTTGAGCAGTTTTTTATTTGTCATGTTTTCACCACGGTCTGATTCTTAGGTAGATTGGTTCTTAAATTAAATCATACACATAGCATTACACTGTCTTGATATCACCTGATCATTTACAACCAGTGATAAATACCTTAGATTTAACTGGATTTGTTTGTGAATCCTTCTTTTTGTTCATGACTCCTAGTCTCAATAGTACTGTTCAACAAAAGCTAACCTACAATGAAAATTAGATTAATGATACATGAAAATAATTTAGAAATATTGACTTTGACCTACTTAAGGTTCAAAATAACATGTTGTACATGAATTTCTATTCAATAATTTAAATATTCTATTTTTAAAAGCAACAAAATAGACCAAACACAAGTACATTGTTGCATGTGTACTACATCATGTACATGGAAAAAGAATCCATGCACAATTTTCAAATAAACAAGAATGTGTCCATAGTACACAGATGCCCCACTCGCACTACCATTTTCTATGTTCAGTGGACCGTGAAATTGGGGTAAAAACTCTAATTTAGCATTCAAATTAGAAAGATCATATCATAGGGAACGTGTGTACTAAGTTTCAAGTTGATTGGACTTCAACTTCATCAAAAACTACCTTGACCAAAACTTTAACCTGAAGTGGGACAGACGGATGGACAAACTGATGCACAGACCAGGAAACATAATGCCCCTACTACTATCGTAGGTGGGGCATAAAAAATAATTCATTAGCTTTTGGTTTTGTCAAGTGTGCATTGGGATTGAGTGGCCTAAATCAATAGACATTTTTTGGCTATTTTCTTGAATCGGGGACACTTGCTCTGAGATATTGCAACACTTGGACTATTTTTCACAATCACTTGTGTTCTTGCCTAGTTATATTCTTTTATGTTTAAGGAACATGTAATCAGTTGTCATGTTATATATTCAAATCTATTTCTGGTATGTCAGTGTATGTCTGAGGGTCCCTGGGTTGATATTAAAAGACTGCTCTGCACTTCCTGTGTCAATATGCTTCTGACATTTATTTGTACTCTTTGGTACCCTGAATTCTCTTTTAGCTTTAAATATGTTGAAATGAAGAGCTAATAATTTCAGACAATTTTGTTAATGTTTTAGCATGAGCTACTTTTTTTTGTCTGTAATAAGATTTGTCGCTGCAACAATTTAAAATTTAAAACGATTTTCTTGATTTTAACTTTCAACAAAATATCACAAGGACCATAAGTCTGAGCTTCAGTTCCGCAGCTAAGCTAGCTATATAGGCTAATCATTATCATGATTATAGACAATAGACAATATTTATTAGCACAAACACATTTACATTAAATGGTTATGGCATACAGTATTAAGACAATAAACTGACAATAATTAAATTGACTATAATTATATTAGAGTGACAGTGGTATTCACAGGGGGGATAAAAGACTATAAATATGTGTGTATCGACAGTTAACACATAATTAATGTTCATGTACAAAAACAAAAAACAAAAATTAGGATACATATTATAAGAAATATAAGTAATACAGACTTATAGTTATAAAGAGAAATGATAACAAATTTCTTTTTCTTGGAAGAGTCCAACTTTTAAAATATCCTGCTTTTAGGAAAGTGCATATGTAAAATTTGAAAGGTTATAAACAAAAACTGGGCTGAATTTAAACTTAGACCATAAAAGGATTATTTAATGATGATGGTTAGCAATTTACTCCGTGAGAATTTACTTGAGGACGGCTTTCCGTCTTTAGAACACAGGTCACTGAGAATCCTTAAAAAAAGACATAAGTACAAAGAAAAAGACGATTGACATAAAACACTGCAGGGACCGACAATAAAGCTTGTCTGACTGTCCGGTACCAATGTGAAAACCCGTGGGTTGAAAAATGAGTTTCATGCTTGGACCTGTTTATTTACACTTGCAATGGCACCATCAACAAGTATCACTTAGCTTATACATACTGGACAAGTTTTAAGAATTTAAAGTAATTCGGGTTTTCATACATTAAAAACCAAAGGGTTTAAAGATGATGCATTTGGTCTTTTAGATACTTCATGCTTTGAAAATTCTGCGAAGCCCATTTACTCAAAATAAAGCGTCAACTTCTGTTTCCGTGTATTTTAAGAAATAGTTCACATCCAGTTTCTTTTGATATTTTGATTTTGAATATATATACTTTCCATTGATTTTAATTTTCTATGATCACATTACAAACAGTTGTTGATTTTTAGACAGGGTTTACTTTTAAGGCTGAAAATACGTCAACTGTGTATTACTACGCACACCAAAAGAAAGGTAACTCTTCGGTTTCAAAATATGAAAATCCGCGCGAAAACTGTCGACATCTAGTAGCCGTTTCTTTAGTCCGAGAGGTAGTTCGCGACCGAAACAAAGCAATGGGTTTTACTGGTATTTGCTGCTTCTCATCCAAGCAACTGAAGAATTAATAAGTGGTCCGACACCGTCTGGAATAAAGGAACTTTAATATTGTATTATCAGCAGATATAGGCTGACTCGGGTTACATTGCAGGACAGTGCCAAATAAAAACAGATGTTTGTTCCAGTGGAAAAAATATTACAGAATATTTCTTCCATTTGGTCTGACTTATATTAGGCTCTAAAGGAATTTCTATTTCATGACATGCCTTGTATGAGGGTGTGGATGGGGGTTCACAGAAAAGACTCAGAATAATGGACAAAAAATATAATGAATAGAGAAAAGAGGACCAAAAATAACTAAAGAGTAGGGAATAATAAGGTGCTTAAATATAAAGAATAGAGAATAATGGCCTAAAAAAATAAAGAATACAGAAACGAAGGACCCCCTATCCACACCCTTTATTACTGACGGGTATCAGCAAAGTTAAAATTTTAAACAGGTAGTATAGTAATACTTTCTTACAGGTATAGCTATAGATAGAAAGTGGAAGGTTGGGTTGGTCCAGATCGGCGCATTACGTTTGCACGAATTCGTCCTACGTTTGTGCGACAAATCGCATTACGTTTGCGCGAAATTTACCTGTTGAAAAGTCACTACGTTTGCGTGGATTAATCAAAAGTATATGACCGTGCGAGGGCTGTATAGCCAGTCAAGGTCGTTAAAAACTTCCATCATCATATATAAAAAATAAATCCTCGACTTTTTGTAAACAAATTGTAATTTCCGAAATTAAACAAATTTACTTATAATTAACAAAAAAAAAAATGAAATTAATTTGAACTGTTTTATTAGAATGTATCCAAATACTACAGTCAAAGGTTTTCGTTTTCATCTTGGACAGGCTTGGCCAGTCCAGCTTGTTCGTTTTATCATACTGTGTCACTGGAAGTTGATATATCATGACATGCCGTATGCACCAGTAACATTTTAAAGCAGGTTAATTAACATTATATATATTTTTTTTAATTACAATTTGTTTGATTATCATAATATATTATCATTGTAATTAATTTTTAGGTAATTATTCCGCTCGGTTTTGGTTATTGTGATTAGCAATACATCTTGGGTCGAGCTTTCCCCGTCTATAGTCGTTGCGGCGGAGATTGCGCGTAGTTGCAATCTGTTCTGAATATGCTTAGTGTACGTAATACTTGCCACTTTACATGAAACAGCCATTACTAGTAATCAATAATTTCAATCTAGATTTATGGAGTAAGCATGTTTTCAGTCGCTTAAGAATGTCCACCAAAAACGGTTGTTGATTGTTGCAGTTTTTCTGCTGGATTACTCATATTGCTGTATTTTATTTCTTTCGTGACTGAAATTCATTATTTGTTCACTGTTGTAATGAAATAACTTTTATTTCCATCTTTTATTGCACCTTTAACCTGATTTTATATGACCAAGTGGCCTGTGTTTGTAATTTTCCATTGTCCTATATCTCCCGTAATACAATCATATAATCAAATGTTTGCTTTCTTACACATATTTACAAAGAAACTATATATACCGAGTGACGTATACAGCCATTTGTAATACATGTCATAATTTAATATTTTTTATCAATTCATCATTAGGGTGTCTTCAAATCTATGATTGATACGTCTCAAATTTAGCCCAACAATGTTAGATCTGCAAATTTGCGTTAGCAAATTCTTGTTCTTCCCACTGCGGGATTCGAATCCCTGCTTCTGTTACATCGTGGCAACATCACCACGAGAAAAATACAATATTCAGATAGTTGCTCAGAATCCAGGACAGCAATGAACAGTGTATACATGCATTATATAATAAAAGCAATTAAGCAATTGAGCACAGTCAAGCATGTCATGATGTATTACATCAAAAGAAAAAAAAATGTAAATAACATGCAAAGTTCATGGTAACATGTTAACAAATGAATCTTTTGTCAAACCCGGATTTAATTATTATGTTACAGTGGCGTATGAAAAGACTGAAAAGTAAGGAGAGGGCAAACTTCTGAGTCGATACCTCTGCTGGTGGACTATCAGTCCCCGAGAGTATCATCAGCTTATTGGTCAGTACGTCGGTACTGACATGATTTATAACAAACTTTCTAAAATTGCCCGTTTATAAATTTTGAAATTATAAAAAACTAAGGTTTCAACTCCCTCAGGGAAAGTTGACCTTATATGGATTTGGCTATTTTAGGTCCTTTTTGGTTTATAGCTCTTCAACGTTTTCGGTCCTTATATATCCTTGGCTTTCAAATATTCAGTTTTGAGCGTTCCTGATGAAGGTAAATCCAGAAAAGCGCTTCGGACGCATGAAATTTATGACGTGTTGTTTTCATTTTTTTTTCCGAAAGTAACAAGCCGAACAAAAACAAGCCTCTCACATCTATAGTCTAATAATCAAGAAGTTAGTCAGTTTCCTTTTTCATTTTCATTTTTGGGATAATAGCATATAGTTTTGCCCCCCACCCCGCCCGCCCCTTTGCTCCCAACTCCTACGCCCTTGTCTTTATACTGTTATAAAAGCTAGAATAAGGAGATGTGGTATAATTACCTAATAATGCGGATGTGAGCAACTATGTTACCATATGGCCTTCAACAATGAGCAAAACACATATTGTATTGTAAGCTATAAAAGGCCCCGAAATGAAAAAAAAAGTAAAACAATCCAAACGAGAAAACTGGCAACGGCCTATCCTGATGTTTGTACAAAACAAAAAAAAAAGAAAAAAACAAATATGATAGACGATGATCTAAGACAAATACTAAATTCCAGGCTCCTGACTTGGGACATGCACATACAGAATGTGGCGGGGTTAAACATGTTTGCGAGCGCTCAGCTCTCCTCTCTAATGTGTGCTTGCTCTAATAATCTCACAGTTTGGTGTATTTTTTGTATAATTGCAGACTATAACAATGTATGTCATACCTTTCACAAGACTGCAATACATGAACCCTCCCTTTTTGTCAATTATCTAAATGTATAAAAAAAAATGTATATACTATTCAAATTAACCTACCAATTTCTAGAGCGATAAGTTTCTACGTTTTTAAGAGCGCCAAAAATGAAAAACAGGCACAAATTCCCCCAAATATTTCTGTAGCATATCCAGATGTTTTTTGTTATGTCAGTCAAAACTTTGTTTCAATATAGTCACCATAAACCAGCAATTCATACGTAAAAAAACTATGAAAATGTTGAATCGAATGACATGAATGTTTGAATCAATGTTTGTAGCTTTACATCCAATAGACATTTGTTTTTGGTTGATAATGATCTACTCGCTCATTTTTTCTAAATGCTCGAAATTTGCCGAATTCTTTCAAACTTGAAGTTTAGTGCCATCCTTAGACATTCTTATATTGGTTGTACTTCCTAAGAAATATGACACAATGTTACTACATCTTAAAAGAACAAAAAGTCATATGAAGCTGCGACACTGAAAATTTAGTTTAAACAATATTTTATTTTTCAAAAGTGCACAAATTACAATTATACAATAGAAATACAGGGATTCGGAAACAAGAAGAACTTATATAAATCCGTCTCCCTTAAAAAAAGACAAAATTGGGAACATAGTGAAAGTAACCCGCATAATATAATTTTCAATTTACATTATATGTTTATTTTGTGGTTTGCCCGTTAGTCAGAAGTCAGTTTGATCGAAAAATTTGATCAACTCATTTTTATAATTATGGTCTCGCATGTAGCTGTTAAAATATGTAAATATTTCAAGAAATAAGGTTAAATTATAAAGTTTCAACATCTAAATCGACATAAAAATAAAAGTTTATGAACCAAATCTCCCTGTTTCCAAAATAAAACTTTGTACAACTTAAAAAATATTTTCGTTTTCCTCATCACTGATGTGTTCACTACCTGATAATAATGTTTGTATATTATATCTTGATAGTGTGGAGATGGTTTGTGTCCCAATGAGTCTATAATTATGACATTCTAGCAGATAGTGTTTGCTGCTCTCAACTTGTCCACATATACAGAGGCTGGAAAGAACAATATTTTTTTCTGGAAAAGGTGTTCATTTAAGCCACTGCAGTTCAACCGGAAGTACTTGGCCTTTTCTACAACCAGTATTATAATATGAAGGGACTTTCTTAATATCACGATTTAAATAATTTTTTAAGTGTGATTTTTGATGGATTACATCTTACAGATTGTGGACAGCTGTTCCATTCACGAATAACAGATGTTAGGAAGGAATGTTGATAAAAAGAAGTTCTATACAGTTCATGTTTTGAACATTAAATGCCCTTCTAGTATTATAGTTATAAACTTGATAAAGTTGTTGAGGAAGAGACTACAAATATAATCGGGAGCTTGATCATGAAACATTTCGTGAAATTTGATGATTTTATGTCTGGATCTTCTTTCACTCAGAGATACCCAACCAATATCATTATAAAGTTTAGTTTTGGAACAAAGTTTAGTTGCACCTGTGACGATACGAGCCGCTTCTATTTGGATGCTCTCTAGTTTGTCCTTCAAATAAGTTGGTATGTTATCCCACACAGTATCCACATATTCGAGAATAGGCCTGATAAAACTGATATAAATACTTGTAGATAATTACGCGATAACTTAAACTTTAAGCTCCTCATAAGATTTAAGCACGGCGTAGCTTTATCAATGATATAATTTACATGATTTTCCCAACAGCCGTTTTCTTGAAAAATTAACCCTAAATGTTTATGTTTTTCAGCCTCTTGTATCAGCGTATTATTCACATGGTTTCGGTTTTTCTCGGATTAAAATTAACGAGCCATTGTTGAGACTATAAGTGAATTTGTTCTATATCAGAGTTCATTAATTCAGCCGTAGCATACTCGTCCTCAACAATTATATATAATGATGTATCGTCAGCGAAAAGTATGATGTTGCATGAGATGTCACATACAATATCATTTATAAATGATAAAAATAATACAGGGCCTAAAATTGAGCCCGGGGGGACACCGGCTTTAATACTATAAACATCAGAGATCTGTCCTATGACAACTCTTTGTCTTCTCTCGGATAAATAACTTTTGAACCATTTCAGGAAGTCCCTTCTTATTCCATAGTTTACTAGTTTATGAAGGAGGCCTTCATGCCAGACCCGGTCGAACGCTTTACTGATATCACAAAACACAACTCTGATTTCCTTTCCAGAGTCTAGGGCTTTAGCAATATCGTGGGTAATATAAATAAGTTGATTAACAGTACTATCTCCAGGCATAAAACCTGATTGTAACTGTGTAATTATTTTATAGCGAGAAAGAAAATTAAATAAATCTTTAAACAGATTTTCCCATCGTTTTACCAATTATAGATAACAGAGAGATTGGTCTATAGTTGGATAAAATTTCTTGAGAACCACTCTTGAAAACTGGTATTACATTTGCTATTTTCCAGTCACTGAAAATTTAAGTAAGCATTGCATTTTGTTTATAAATGACCTAAGTGTAAAATAGAAAAAAAAACAAAAAAAACAGGAGAAATTGGCCCTCCTTCTTTTCTAAACGGTAATTTTAAAGTTTTAAGGGATATCATATGAATTGCTCTATCTATCATTAGTATATAAGTAAATTTTAATCTACACTTTGTGTATATTGGATTTTCATTTTTATTATTTTTTATTATTCTGTTTAATAATAGCGGAACTTCATTTATATTACCCTTGATAAGGGAATCTTATTACAATCTTGCGATCTTAAAATTTTGTAAAATTTTTAATTGAAGGTCATTATTAATCAAAATGATTAATATGTATCTGAAAACAATTGATACCTTTACTTCGGATAGGAAATGACTTTTGATTAAGAAAGTCCTTCTTATTCATTTTTTTTTTTGTGTTTTTGTTTAAAATGTTCCCGAATTTTGTCAAAATCCTTCAAAATTACAGTTTTGAGCCACATTTTCAGATATACGTTATTATGTTGATAGAAACTAAAAAGTCTACAAAGGAAGCTATATACTATGAATTTCAGTTTTTTAAAGACTTTTTAAAAGTGATCTGCCCTGCATGGTGTGGAATAAATTCAGGGGAATCTTGCCCTCCCACTTTTCAAATCAGAAAAAAAACATGCTTTTTTATAAATATGTTTTCATTTCAATAGCTTTTTGTTTATCGTTAAAGACAGTATATAACTATGAACTCTAGCCTAATTGTGACCTCTAGCATTATGGTGACCTCTAGCTAATTGTGACCTTCTATCATTATTGTGAATTCTAGCTTAATAGTGACCTCTAGCCTAATTGAGACCTCTATCTCTCCACTGACATTAATTGATTATTCTTTGTGGACTTCACATGGGTAATCCTTTGATGACAGTTTATGATCATTTATGTTGATTTGTACAAGACCCACGAGCAAAATCACGCTTTTTAGGACTGCCTCTTTTTGAATTTGCCTTTGAGTTAATTATTTTTGTTATACTTTTTGTGCTTTTCCCCCAGGGCCACTGTTCTCAAATCTCCATTTATCAATCTTATTATTATTCTAATAATATAGAAGTAAATCGACATTGTACATGTATAATATATGAAAATGCCACTCAGCACCAACGACTCTCGAATCAACGAATATTTGCTGAGACGTGTTGTTGCAGTTCTCCAATATATTTCAATTTTTGTATTTAATGTTCTACAGAACGCCGGCCTCATCCCATATCCTATGTTTTCAATATTTTGTTACTAATATCATTAGATTAACATTCCCCCTATTTCATCTCTTTCTTTACCCATTTTTTAAAATATGACGCATTTTAAATTTGTTAGTTATTATACCAGTATGTATTCTTAATGTAAAGTGTATACACTCATATTTGCCTTTTTTCCTTTTTGTTAATTGCCTTTTGTGCTTCGCGTTGAACAGACCAGAGTCAAGCCTCTTCAACTTGACAGTGCTTTTTACAGCTTGTTCTAATGTTGTATTGTTACACCACTTTCCCAGGTTGGCGGAGAGTTGAGCGCTCACAAACATGCTTAATCCGCCACAATTTGTATGTACATGTAGCAAATCAGGAGCCTATGATTCTGTAGTTCGTGGGTTACTGTCTGCAATATTTGTTTTTCTTTATTTTTTTTGGGTCATAAATCAGGCCGTTGGTTATCTCGTTTGATTTGTTGCACATTTTTATTTCATTTTGAGGTAGTTTATAGCTTACTATACAGTACGAGAAGGCTGTTCTTCGACCGTTGATTACACCCACGCCCTTTGGTCTGTGGTGAATATAGTCGTCCCATTGGCAATCATAACATATCTTCTTACTTTTATAGTAATAGGAATATATTCCAACTTTAAGGGTAAGATTATCTTATAAGTATCCTACACCATATTCATTTACATTATCTGCAGCTTTTACATATTATTCATATGTACGGAGTAAAAAAATTATAGCAGCAGACATTTTAATTAAAAAAATACATCACAAACAAAAATTCCCAATGTTTAAATTTTTGTGCTGAAGAAATTGCATCTTATGGAATTTTTCTTTATAACAATAATTTATCTATTTTTATATGTTTAGAAGTATAGTTTATTTTTGAAATACAACATATGAAATTAAAAATATTTGTTACTAAACTGTTTTTACTCTGCATACGTATCATCTTATCTATTCTCTATTAGAGAACATTATAACTACTTTAAGATAATATTTAAAACTAAGATATAGGACTTTCCTCTAAATTTATTAAAGTTTCTCAAAAACAATTTTTCTTCTTTTTTTCAAAATTTCAAAAATAATAAATGTCATTTTCTCAATTGTATAATGTGCAAATTCAGCCCCTAAGGTGATACCTATTCACAATATTACATGATATTGTGTGAAAATCTTATCTTGTTCACCTCTTCAGGTAAGAATATCTCCTAGTCATTTATATCTATCTGTCTTGTCAATACAATCTTAACAACTTCCGTTTAAGTACCTACAATAATCAACGTGGAAACTTATAAAGATGCCACGTGGGAAAAGATAAGGAACTTCCTGGGCGGTTTTGAAATTTTGTATTAAAATTGGATACGCTGACAAATGCTAAACTTCTGAATCGGGACACAAAGCCGAGACGAACAACATAAGACTGGTCATAATGAGGTCCGAATTAATCATTTGTTTAGGGTTGGCAGTTATAAGTACAGTTTATGCACAATCCGGTGAATCCGGATTAAATATAGAAGTCCTTCAAGCGCCGCCGCCAGATTGCGCAAGAAAAGTTAAGAAGCATGATATGGTTGTTTTGCATTATGAAGGTTACTTTGAAAATGGAACGAAATTTGATTCAAGGTACGTACATGTTTTCTTTATCTTTTTAATCACCAAGAAAATATAGATATTTTGCAAAACATGAAGAGCAGTCCTGGATCGTATTGCATTTAATATTGTTAAGGTTTTAGTTCTCCCCATGGTTTTTCATGTCGAAATATGATGCCAGGACAAATGCAACGAATAAACGGAGACACATATATGCTGACCTGTGATAATATGAATAAATTGAATTGAGATGTTGGTATACATTAATGAACCAGCAATAAACAACCCCCCCCCCCTTTCCCCCCAAAAAAAAATGGGGAATGTGTCCATGGGATACAGATGATGCCCTCCCTTGCATATAACGTTATAAAGAGACATTACTCAAGAACGGTAAAAGTGACGCTACCAAAATTTGTACTTGATCTAAGTTTTGTGGTAATAAGCATTGTGTATAAGTTTCATAACATTTGTTTGAGGCAAACTTAACTTAGAGAAAGGAAACGAAAAATTCAGCAATTTTTCCATTTGTAAAGGGGCATAACTCTAGAACGGTAAAGGTGACGCCACCGCAAAATTCAAACTTGATCTGTGTTTTATGGTAATAAGCATTGTGTATAAGATTCATAACATTTGGTTGAGGCAAACTAAAGTTAAGAGAACGGAAAACAAAATTTCAGCAATTGTTCCATTTGTAAAGGGGCATAACTCTAGAACGGTAAAAGTGACGCTACCCAAATTCAACTTGATCTGTGTTTTGTGTTTGTGGTAATAAACATTGTGTAGAAGTTTCATAACATTTGGTTGAGGCAAACTAAAGTTAGAGAGCGGAAACCAATTTTGGGACGTACGGACGTACAGACGGACAAGGGTAAAACGTTATGCCCTCTCCGCTACGGCGGGGGCATACAAATCCGTATATTAATATGGGAATGACATTTATTAATACATTTATTAATCGATAAGTCTAATACATTGGCATAACTGCTTTAAACAATAAATATGACAAAAAACAGATTTTATCTTATGAATTTTCTTTTGGGATTTTTGCATTAGATTGATGCAATAAATATGACTAAAAACCTTTTTTTCATATGTATGTCTTTTTGTTGGTTGTGTAGATGAGGGGTCATACGCCAAATCTGCATACACCTGAATATTCTATTCAGTCTCAAATTCATATACAAAATCATTTGATTACAATAAAATTGCAAATATGTGAATCTGTTACTTTTTGTTTTTCTCAACAAGTTATCTTAAAGTCTTTTGTTTTTTTTCAATTTTCTGATGATTTTTTCAATCGAAAAAAAAAAAACAATTACCAAATTAAACCAAATTTCTTGAAAATGCCAAAACCGAATGTCCCATGTGCACCATGCAATAACTAATTATCGATGTAAAACATAAAATTATTCATCAACAAAAAATATTTGCACTTAAAGAATGTGATATTGTAGCTCTGTCACAAACAGTATACAATAACTAAACCTTTGATGTGTATATCTAACATAAATATATCATTTTTAACTGCCTGTCATTTTTATATGAGTGATTGTTGCCCGAAGTATTATGTGTGACCTTAAGTAGGGAAACATGGACATTTACGTGTTCTAAAAAGATGTATATGTACAAAAATTGACTTTGAATACAATTGACGTGATAGTTAAATTGTTTTTTAATCTTTTTAATTTCATAGTCATACATACCCGCGTACATGTGTTTACACACCAATGTTAGCCTATATCAAATTTGAAATTAGAACATTACACAAATGTTTCATAAGAATTCGTGATTTTGATTGGCGACAACCGAATCACGAGGTATTCAAAAATTGTCTTTTATTTTTCAATACAACGCAACATCTCTGACTGCACATACTCTTTATACATAGGCAGTTTCTCTCAAAATTTAGACTCAGTGATTATTCCCTAGGCATTGAATTGGGAAGGTACAGAAACATTCCAAGAGCACAAAGATTATGTAAAAAATGTGGAGTCCTAGATGACGAATTTCATTTCTTTTTGTATTGTAACATTAACATATCATTGCGTTCCAATTTTTTTGCTTATCTAAAAGACTATGTACCATTATTTCAACATCTTGATGCATTTAATAAACTAAAACACATTCTAAACCCCATCCCTGAATTTGTTTGTCATATTGGAGTCTTTATTAAGCAGTCTTTAGAACTGAGGGGGTCAGACCCATGTCAGACAAGCTTATGATTGTGTTTTTTACATAAATTTAAAATTGAACTTTTAAAATATGTTTTATTATATTGTATTGTATTACATTGTATTGCATTGTATTTAAAATGTATAATTGTTTGTATTGCTTGACCCTTATGGGTGTAATTTTGCAATAAAGATTATTATATAACAACGTTACAACAATGTACCCATTTGAATGGTTTTACACTAGTAATTTTTTGGGGCCCTTTATAGCTTACTGTTCGGTGTGAGCCAAGGCTCCGTGTTGAAGACCGTACTGTGACCTATAATGGTTTACTTTTATAAATTTTGACTTGGATGGAGAGTTGTCTCATTGGCACTCATACCACATCTTCTTATATCTATAGGAAAACAAACGGAAAGCTTGATTTAACTCGATTTTTCATGAGTACAACACACATTTGTATTTATAAGAATTGATGGCTTTGCATTTGAAATTTTATAGAGTTGTAAAAGCGTTGAATGTGGACACATTTTCAACATGAAGCCGCTTCATACAAAATGTGCTCCGGTCAACGCTTTTACATCCCAATGAGATAAAAAAAAACAATTAAAAGTGAATACTTTGATTTTTCTTTATATTTGAAAATGTTTCATACATTGCAGTCGGGAAAGAGTGGGAGCTGTTCCATTCCAGTTTCAGTTAGGACTTGGTGCCGTCATTAAAGGATGGGAGCAGGGTTTACTCGACATGTGTCCTAATGAAAAAAGAAGATTAACAATTCCGTCACATCTAGCATATGGAGAAAAAGGATCAGGTATAATGAATAATTTTTTTAAAGAATATAATTTTGCAATCGGTGTAAAAGGGGGACGAAAGATACCAGAGGGACAGTCAAACTCATAGATCAAAACAAACTGACAACGCCATGGCCAAAAAAAAAAAGACAAACCGACAAATAATAGTACAGATGACACAACATAGAAAACTAAAGACTAAGCAACACGAACCCCACCAAAAACTGGGGGTGATCTCAGGTGCTCCGGAAGGGTAAGCAGATCCTGCTCCACATGTGGCACCCGTCGTGTTGCTTATGTTATTACAAATCCGGTAAATAGTCTAATTCGGTAATTCACATTCGTGAAAAGGGAAGGGTATTGTAACCGGTGAGTTGATATTGATGGAATAGTAACTCTTCTTACGAATTTTAGTTACGTGTATTTACATCGGTAACCATACTGGTTAAAAGTTATTTAAAAACCCGTGATTATAAAAAGAAGTTGCATTTGACGCTTGTTACTCTTGCTTATCGTTGCTGCATACTTATGAGGGTCTGGATTTGGGGGGGGGGGGGGTCTTCAGTTTTGCATTCTTTATTCTTTAGGCCATTTTTCTCCCTTCTTTATTTTTTGCCCATTATTCTCTATTCTTTATATTTTAGCACCCCATTATTCTCTATTCTTTATTTTTTCACCCATTATTCTCTATTCTTTATTTTTTCCCATTATTCTCTATTCTTTATATTTTAGCACCCCATTATTCTCTATTATTTATTTTTTTCCATTATTCTCTAATCTTTATATTTTTTCACCCATTATTCTCTATTTTGTAAATCCCCATCCAGACCCTCATTTATAAACAAAATCTTGGAAATATGCGCACATAATTTTTTTTTATATCAAAATAAGAATATTATTATTGCCAATGAGACAATTGAGACATTGAAGACATAATAACAAAGGCATACATAATTTCAGGTAATCGTAAGGCCTCCAATAATGAACATATTTCCAAAACGGTTTCTGATTTTCGATAATCTCAATTACATAACAATTAAAAAAAAATCTTTGAGTGTTGTGAAATTCGAAATCGGTTTACATATTTGGAATTCTTATTTTTTAGAAAAAGTTATTGAATGAATAGGTTCTTTCATGCATATTTCTGACTCCCCACCCCCACCCCAGCCCCCGAATTTCGTACAAAAATGGAATATTGACATGTTCTTGTGATATTTATCCAAATGAAAAATAAGTAAGGAGCTAGGAATGCTATAGATTTGTTTGAAATATGAAATATACCGAAATCATGAATCTTAATTTCAAAGATGATATCCATGTTTTTAGTCCTCTATTTTCCTTGATTCAAAATGTGAAAACGTATACAATACCGTATCTGATTGAACATTGATGTATTGTTTTTTTAGGTGAAGTGATTCCTCCAAATGCCAATTTAATGTTCGAGATTGAATTACTGCAAGTCCACGATGGACCCAAGCCACCAAATGTATTCGGAATGATTGATATTGACAACGATAAATTTTTAACAAGAGATGAGGTAAAATAATATATTTTTAACACATATGCATATTTATATATATAATATTTTATACTATACTTAACAACAAAAGAAACGCACCGCATCCATTATTTTCTTTGGAGATTGCATGTAATTTAAAAAAAATGATTGAAATGAGTCAAAATTTTTACACAACGTTTCTGAAGTCATACAGACCAAATTATGTGAAAGTGAGAACTTTCTTAACTTTAATTTTTGACATCTCAAAAAACACATTTTTAACAAAAAAAACTAAAAATTATGAAAATACTATACATGGTAAGAATTGATGTGGTGCGTTATTTGTGTTGTTAAGTATATATCAGATAAATGTTACCAGTCATTGGACTACTTTTGTAAACGTAGAACTTATCGCACCGGATTTATTTCCGCTTCTTTCGCCATCATGTATATTGCATAAAACTTCCACCACTGAACGTGGGAATAATTTGAAAAAATAAAAATTGTTGATGTGGAGGACACACGTATGGTTTAATCGATGCGCGAATTTAACCCCGGGTCGAAAAGTTATACATTGCAATCGTGAAATAAGGCAAATAAAGACTTGATCTGAAAAAAATCTTAAGCAATATTTATTCATGAAACATGATATTTTCCAGTACAAAAGATTATCACAGTGCATTTAACGTTCGAGACACGTGTTCTATTTAAGTCAATAGAAAATCATATTTTTCAATAACCAATTATCTTCTCTTACAGTTGATCATGTACCTGTCCCATCAAGCAGTACAGCAGGGGATACCAGTCGATTTAGCCTCTCAGCAACAACAGAAGGTCCTTCACGATTTATTTGAAACAGAAGATAAAGATAAAGATGGGAAAATTTCCCATGAAGAATTCACTGGACCAAAACATGATGAATTATAACGTGAACTATAAATTATTGTATATTATGTTTATTAAGTTATTTTGTATTAAAATGTTAAAATAGTTTTTTTTTATGAATTGAACAATAATAAGATAATATAGAACAGCCGTGTATATCAGTCCGTAATGTTTGTTTCGCACCCATAGTAGAAGTTTTTACAGTCAGTTAAATTGGAAGTGAAAAGCAATTTAAGAGGTAGGACCAATATTCCCCGTATTTGTTTTATTTTTAGGGCCAACGTCTTAAAGATGACAGATCCTTGACAATCATGTTTTACCCCGACCCATTCCTTAGGTGTCTGTCCCAATTCAGGAGCCTGTTATTTTGTGGTTGACGTTTGTTGCTGTCTGTCATATTTGTTTTTCGTTTTTTTTTTTCTTTGTCTTCAAACAGGTTTTTTCGTTTGAATTGTGTCACATTTTGTTATGTCGGACTCGGGACCTTTTATATAAGGTATTGGTTTTGTTCATTATTGAAGGCCGTACGCTGACCAATAGTTGCTTAAATTCGCTTCATATGTACTTATCAGAGTTAAACAATCAGCAATGTTTTTACCATTCAACAGAGATACATTGTTTTTATACTAATTGCTCTGTTGCGATTCAGTGGTTTTCGGTGAACGTATTTGAATATAAACTTCACCCCTCCAAAATCCCAAGAAAAGTGTTTCTTACTGCAAAGAAATTGGTTTGACAAATCTTTCATCGGTGATGACTATAGAGGAGGGTCTAGATAGGGTTTACATAATAGAACATTATGAGCAAAAAGTGCAGTATAAATGGCAAAACAAATATAAAATTGAGAATAATGGGGTGCTGAAATTTTAAAGAAGAAATATATCGGTGGTGACTATAGAGGAGGGTCTAGATGGGGTTTACATAATACAACATTATAAGCAAAAGTGCAGTATAAATGGCACAATAAATATAAAATTGAGAATAATGGGGTGCTGAAATTTTAAAGAAGAAAGAATAATGGACAAATAAAGAAAGAATGGAGAAAAATAGTCTAAACAATTAAGGAATACAAAAATGAAGGACCCTATCAAGACATAATAGAGTCTCTAGAAATAATTTAAAAACTGTAGTTTATAGAAAAAGGATACACAGAGAGATACCTCCCTTCTTTATTTCAAATGAAAAAAATCACCGATAAAATAAAAACAGTGAAAAAAAACATGCTTACTAAGGCGAAAAAAATAAACCAGAAACCCGTATAGTAGACATTATATTCCATAAATCAGCAATCGGTAATAAGTACTTGAACAATATCGATAAAGAACAAGATCAGTTTTACTAATTAAAAATATTTATCAAATTTTGAAGGTTGTATAATTCTAAATATTTCATAGAAATACAATGGACAAATGACATGAAAAATATCCCATATCTAAGATATCAGCCGAAAGGACGACCCTATCGAGAAATTCGCACAACTGAAACGTGGAAACTGCGGCTTATTTTTATACCTCTTCAAATCAAATATTGTTTACAAATGTTTTTCAGTGAAAAGGTTTGAGAAATCCGGCATTTTGAAAACTGAGGATAATCCTTCTTACATATATCTCTGGGTTTTTTTTAAGCGCATTTTGTTCTACATTATGATCTTTTCGGTTGTATTAGTCCTAATTCTTTGATTGTTTGATTTGTGGGAAATTAAGTATTAAGCTTTGGCTTCGAGCATCATCAAAGAGATATTCGACCATTTGATTTCACGGCGAAAGGGGGTGGAGGGTTTGAAATTAATGCGCTTGCTTTGTACGAAGTGTCAATAAATTATTTTACCCAAGACAAGATGGAAATGAGTATTCTGCCCCACAAAATACAGGACGTAATTGTGTACAAAATCTAAAACTAGCCGTCCACAGTATATAAGCCTGCCTAGCACATGTAGTACAGGTTAAAATGAATATTCCGCAGCCGAAAAATCCACCTAATTGCCAAAGATATCAAATGGACGTCCCCTTACTTGTAAACATGGTTGATTGTGTCATTATATCATATTATCTGAAAGCAAGGAAGGTCTTCAGAATAGTTAAAATAACTTGAATTACTGTGAAAAATGGCAGTTATGTTTATATACTAAAAAAACAAAAAAACAATGATCATCCAACAAAGAACTACAAAACTGGAACCATATATAGTAACTTAAAGGTTAATAATGACAAAATGGATAATGTTACAGAAAATAAATTTATGGGAACTTTAATAAAAAATAATGGAAATCTGAGTGCGAGCTTAACAGATTTTGCCAAAAAAAAAAAGCTAGGAAAGCTCTTTTTTCAATAAAATCACATGCAGCCTTTCGGGGAAATGTACCTTTTAATGTATCCTGTATTCTCGTTGATTCTCTTGCTAAGCCAATTTGACATATAATGTAGAAATGTCATACATGGATACATATCATTATTATTATAAAGCCGAAGGCAGATAAGAATCCCAAAACAAAGATGTAGATAATTTCCAAAATTTGGACAAGACTCCTTCCTTCTGAAAAGGTTCATGTTAATTTCTGTAAATATGTTCTAGGTACCAAAAAGACACCTTCTAATTTAGAGGTTACAGCTGAACTTGGTAGACAACCATTGGAAAAGAAATAAAAACGCAAGCATCCTTTATTTGGCTAGATGAAATACCGAAAACATAAATTCATTACTAAAAGAAAGTTATACATTAAGTTAACACCTCGACACACAAGGAGTTTATTCATGGTCCACTTTTATCAGAGATTCTTCACAACAAATGAATATTGATATACAACAAATAGTTTCCTGTAAAAATATGACAGTCGTAAAACAACTAAAAACTTGAATTAAGAATGTTTCAAGCATCTTTTATTCAGAATTACTGGAAAATAAAATAGACAGTCTAAACGAAAGTAACAAACGTTTATAAAAGCATTAAAGTCAAATATGACCAAATATTTTATCTTAGATTTCTAAATTTTGAAACTAAACGTTTATTTAAAAAAATTAGAATCAGTGACAATAATTTAATAATAGGAAAGGGCAGATATCTGAATATACCTCGAAACCAAAGAACATGTCTAACTTGTAAAACCGTAGAAGATGAAAACCATTTTCTCCTCTACTGCCAAAATAATAAAATATTACGTATAACACTTTTTAATCACATCGCAATAGATAATCCTATGTTTTTAAATCTTTCTGATACTGAAAAACTAGTGGTCCTGCTAAATCCCTCCAGTCTTTGGGGCTGAGGACAGGGGAATCTTAGTTATTTTTGCTTGTATATGTTGTGAACAAGTTATCATATCAAAAGAATTGTACAAATTATAATCTGTATGTTAACTTTGTACAATTTGTAATTTGTCCAGAAAATGCTTGTACAAATAACAATTTGTACAAAGGATATATGGTAATTTAACATGATAAAAAGGATGGCCTTTAATATATTTTTAACAGTTATATATTTCAATTACCTAGGGGAGAACATTTTTGTAGTCAACTCTTCTTGATAACATTGAGAATGGAAATGGGGAATGTGTCAAGGAGACCAAAGAGCAGAAAACAACACAAGGCCACCAATGGGTCTTCAACACACAGCGAGAAACTCCCGCACCCGGAGACTGCTTCAGCTGGCCCCTAAACAAAAATATGTACTAGTTCAGTGAAAATGGACGTCACACTAAACTCCGAAACATATAAATGAACTGAAATTAAAAAAAAAAAACATACAAGACTAACAAAGTCCAGAGGCTCCTGACTTGGGACAGGCGCAAAAATGTTTTGTGAGATCTCAACCCCCCCCCCCCCCCCCTTATGCCTCTAGCCAATGTAGAATAAACAAACACACAGCAATACGCACAGTAAAACTCAGTTTCAAAGAAGTCCGAGTCCGATGTCAGAATAGGTAACAGAAGAAACTAAGCAAAATGACAATGATACATAAATTAACAAAGGACTACTAGCAGTTACTGACATGCCAGCTCCAGACCTCAATTAAACTGATTGAACACATTTCAACTGTTCATTATTTTGGGGTCAATTGTCTTAATAAGTTACCAAAGATATATATCTCAGGTGTTTGTGGACACTCTAACAGGGTCTTCTTAGGAATAACGAAAAGAAGCTAGCATTGTCCTTTAACTACACGTTCCGCTAAACAGATGATGCCCTCTCACTGGATAATTCAAAGTTTGGTGACTATGTTGAACGCATCTATCCCATCGAACTTGAAGTTAAGGATAGAACAGATACAGTTAAGTCTGCCTCATATTAGAGAAAAAAATAGAAGAAAAAGAAAATGATGAAACAGATGATCCTGATGAAAATACAGAAACAGAAAATTGGCCACAGTGATAATGAGGATGAAACGGACATTGAAACACCGACCATACGTGACTGGAAGCATGCACTGACTGGCCAACAGTTCCAAGGCGAATGTCTTACCAAGAAAACAAAACGGAAATTATCAGAACTTGCTGTGGGGGATAATGTCGTTATACCTGTTCATCAGTATGATCGTGCCCCAACTGATCCCAGAAATATCTTAGGCGTAATACTTGAATCTGGAGATTTTGGTTACTGCATTGGAACAGCTGTAGGGATTTTAACAGGATTTCTGTCTAGAAATTCAATTGAAGCTGTTAAAGACACATGCTTATACGCAGCAACGCATCAACTTTTGCTACGTGATGCAGTTAAAAAGCTTTAGAAGCACTTCTAAACGGAAATGTAAAAAGGAAAAGATGTTGTGCAAAACATGATGCCATAATTCATCCACATGCTCAAACAAATAATACAGAACTATTTTTGTATTTTGTAAAAGAAGATTATTGTGTGGTCATTAAATAAAAATCCTACAGTTTGTAAAAGTGCTTTTTTTAACCAAATCTATATTATAAGTTAATGTACAAGTTATAAGTGAATTTTAGTCAAATTTTGTCAAGCACTTTTGGGACAAATTACAATCTGTACAAAGTCAAAATACATATTATAATTTGTACAATTTTTTTGTACAAATCATAATTTGTACAAAATGATAACTTGTACACATTGACATATATTGTCTCTTCAGTGATGTTAGGAAGGCCATATAATTTACCTCAGTTTAGGATTGACTCTTGAATTTTGAAGAGTCGAAAAAGGTTGAACGGATTATATAGACCCGAAGGCAAATATAATACAAGCCCAAACGAATTAATATAAACAAGTCTAAATTAAAAACAACGTTCAAACCTATGATTGCATTGGATAAAAACCGCAAATTTTATGCGTGTGTATGCAAAACAAATTTCTTGGTAGAGGGGTATATATTCAAATCAGTTTATTTTTTGTTGTTGTTATTATTTGTTTTTGTCACAAGTATCTTGTTTACTTATATGACAATAAAGAATAAAGAATTTCAATTTATAAGGTAATAATCCCTTCTAAACAGGGTTAGTAAATGCAGTAAGTCTACAGCATTAAACAGGAAAACATTCCATATGGAATCGGTATTGTTACATTATCATTGTTTATATTCATCCGACACTATTCAACGATCTTCAACCGGTTTGAAATACCGCGCGTTTACATATATATATTATTCTTATCATGCTTATTGAGGTCACTGACCCTGTGTCGTCTTTGAACGGTGACAAAACGTTATAAAGATGTGTCGTAGAAAATAGCTGGCAACAATTAACAGGTAAACTTTCTTGTACAAACTCATTGTTGCTGTCTTTTTTTTTAATTTTCTTATAAATAGTCACAAACATAATATTGCTTGAAACACTGCATGTTTTGGGGAAAAGAAAGAATTTGAGGAAAATTTTGTGATGTATTTAACTTCCTTGTTTGTTCAGATTTCGTTTGCCTCCATGCTCATTGAAATCTGTTCTGTTCTGTTCTGTTATAGAAAATCCCTCTTTCAAAGGAGCACTTCGTACAACGTCGAATACAAATTTTTAAAACCTAAAAAGACATACTAGGTACGCCTCGTGAGGTGAGTGTTGGTAACTATCAAAGACCCTTACGTTTGCCAGGCGGAAGGCGACTGGTTTACTTGAACTTGAAACTGAACTTGCCTACATTGGTTTTTTTTTGCTTAGCCAAGGAGTCTTAGTGATAATTTTGTCTCCCTTTAAAATACAGCTTAATATACTCCTGATAGAAAGATATATTTATATTGTATTGTAATGTCTTAATGTTGACTCTATTACTATAATCATTGTATCTGATTTATTAGACCAAATAATTATGACGTCGTGAAAGGTTATTCTATTTGTTTTTTGCTGTTGCGCCTTCCTGCTGTGTACTCATTATTTTATGTGCTCTTTATGGGCCATATGTAATTTGGAACAATAAAATAATCTGTTCTATTCTATTCTATATATAGATGACATATCTGCACTTAGTGGCCATAGACTTTGTCATCCTATTAATCTATTAACAAAAGTAAACTAGTTTCAATTGGAATGAGAATTTAAATTACTTAATAAATCCCAGGGTCCAAGTTGTACCATTTTGGCATGTCTCCTCCTCAAATAGTGGCAGTTTCGGGGCTTGGTAGTAAGGAAATGTAATATAAAGGTACAAGGGTTTTAGCCATTTGAGCTTTATGTCAACTGGGGTTTGTAATATTATTCAATAATTCATTTTGCTCTGAGGCTAGCATGGCTAATAATGTTTTTCATTTGAAAAGACAGATTACTAACGAAATTCAGTATCCTTTTTCAAAAATCTGCATATATATGTTCTTGAAATACAATCAGCCACTATTCAATTTATGAGGGTGTGGATGGGGGTTTACAGAATAGAGAATAATGGACAAACAATATAAAGAATAGAGAAAAATGGACCAAAAAAATAAAGAATAGAGAATAATAAGGTGCTAACATATAAAGAATAGAGAATAATAAGGTGCTAACATATAGAGAATAATGGACTAAAAGTATAAAGAAAAGAGAAAAATGGCCTAAAAAATTAAAGAATACAGAAATGAAGGACCCCCCATCCAGACCCTCATTTAGAGGGGTTGGACATGGGTAAGGGAACATGGGAATAAGGTGACGGGAGCCGGGAGCCGGGAGTCAGGGGGGAGCGGAAGTCACGCGGCGGGAACCGAGGGAAGAGGGGGAGTAAATGTAGAGATGTTCTTGGTTTTTGTTTTACCGATTTTTTTGGGGGGGGGGTAGAGAAGTAGGGAAGTGGTAATCAGGGACCCCCTGCCCCCTAAATTTGCTAAATCTTTTGATTCAACATAGCAGTTAAACTTTCCCCATTGGCAATATAAGTGTGCTAGCGTGTATTTATTGATGATGGAATACATATTGATATACTTTTGTAATTGGTATTTAATTTCTTAATTGAATGTACATTAGAATAATTAAAAGATTTTATTCTTAATTCATATTTGTGTTTTCAATTTCAAATAGATTAATTATGGATTGTAAATAATTATGAGTTGTACCAATTTAAGAACATACTCACCCATTCTCGTCCAATGGTAAATCAGTATTTTTCCCTTCTATTTTTCATAGTACATAGCTTTCCATGCAGTATAAAATGCTATACATGAATGGCTTTTCATTTAGGAATTGGATGCTTCTTATTGTAAATTCATTGGGGTGTAAAAGCGTTGACCGAAGTACATTTTGTATGAAGCGCGGAAGCGCTTCATTCTAAAAGTGTACGCACGGTCAACGCTTTTACAACCCTATGAAATTACTAAAAGAAGCATTCTATACTTATAATTACATATTTTCGCTATGATCATGAAAAGACGATTACTATCAAGTTTTTCTTTTATTTACCTGTGCACTTTATTGTGGAAACGTGTGTCGTCATGTATGTTTCAATTCATGCAATTCATTTTGAAATGAAGAATGACGCGAAATTGCTGTTAGCCAATCAAAATAAAGTATAATAATGAAACATACATCTAATGTAATTATTGTAGGTTGATTATAAAAGTGAAATCTTAAAAACTGCAGTAACAAAGTGCTCAATCTCCCAAGGCAATTTCCATAGGAAAAGAGCAAAAGAAAAAATATCATGAGTACTGTTGTTTGTCTAATTATTATAAATGAAAACAGGAGAATAGAACTATAAAAGCATTTTAAGTTGAGATTTCAATATTGTAAACGTTATATAATGGTACATATATATAGAACAAGACGAAAAAGAACTGAAAAGGGGCAAAGTGTAGGTAAAATAATATAATCTAATTTTTATACGAGTCCTGAAAATCAATATTGTTCTTTAAGAAACAATGACTGTTGATAAAACAAATAAAAAAAAACCATTATATTCATCTATTAAAAAAGTAAGGATCTGATGTTGAAACGATTGTAATTTTAAAATTTATCGATGAAGTTTTGTCATTATCAAAAACTATACAATTTTAGAAAAGCTGATTTATATATCATTGTGTGCTTTTTAATTTGAATGAATTTTAGATATATAAGTATTAAATTGTGCATGAATCAGAAGAAATCTCCATTTTTGAATAATTTATCCTTTTTGTCTCGTTTCTATTTCATTCCATCTGTTAAAATGACTATCAAATATTATTTACACCCCTTTTCCTAACCATGTTAACACTTAAAGTGAGCTCATATTAAGGTGTGATCATTACAATGGGAAAGGATATTTTTGTTATGTCACTCGAAGGTGTGAATATGTTCTAAATTGGTCAGACAATGCTTGGTCAAGTTTTATGAACATTTAAAACCCTCTGCTATACCTCGGGCTTTAAATATTCATAAAACATGACCAAGTATTATCTAACCTATACGTATTTTATATTGACAGACTTTGACAATTGGCTATTTTCGTCTTGATTATATATTACTCACTTCCGTTTTCTATTTTGATGGTCATTGTTTTTACGCTTGATTTAGCATATTTCATTGGTTATATATATTTCGGTGGTTCATTTCTATTGAAGTCTATAATTAATTCTGGATTTATGTTCAAACCGAAGACACGTATCATATATTTTCTTTAGTCTTTATTCGCTGTATTTGCTGTTTCATATTTCATAAATTTGTATTGGAGAAATTCCACAATTATTTAAGGTCAGTTTGCTCATTCTAGATATTCTGCTTATATATTATTTCATCGTAATTGTATTCCTGTATTAATCAGTATTTCACGGACAAGTAACTTTCCATTTTAGCATGACTTCGTAGTAAGAATGTGTATCATGTGATTGTTGAATGAATGATGTAAATTATTTAAAAGGTAATGGTTCATCATAACCTTTTTGCAAATATGACCGTATTTACACCAACCATTTTACTCTGATAATAGCCAAACTTGCGTATATAGAAAAAAAATTTAAGGCATGGCTGGAACTCAATAAATAAAATTTAAAAGCAAATTCAGTTTTAATATAGTAAAAATTTAAAAGGATTTTGCTATTTATTTTTTATCGTTCATGCAGAAGGTACCAAAATATACTAAGTTCGGAAAGATGTTTGAGAAGCTCCCCTCATATGATAAATGTTGTGAGACATGGAAAATAGAGAGACAATAGAAAACTGCGAACCGGGCTGATATCCAGTTGAAATAAAACAAAATAAATGGAACCCTTTATAAGAGAAGGTAAAAATGGCAAAGTTGGTATATTTGAATTGTTTACATCTGTTTCTATGGGCTTTAAAAGTTTAATGTAGGTGCATACTTCAGGATTTTTTGATGAATATTATTTAGAGTCATTATATCATTTTTGTCTCATTTGATATATTTTAAGTATTATATAAGTCTATGCAAAGTAATGATACTTTAGTTTTCCATTCGTTTGATGTGTTTGAGCTTTTGATTTTGCCATTTGATAGGGACTTTCCGATTTGAATTTTCCTTGGAGTTCGGTGTTTCTGTTATTTTTACCTTTTTGTGATTTGTTATACATGTTTTATTAACCAGAGTCCTGCATATGATGTAAATATTCATTGAGGCATAACCTTTGTACCTCATACGAGGTAAGAATGAGTGTTTTTGTATTTGGTTATTATTTTATTAGCTTAGTAATTTTGCTTTGTTTAGCTTAGTTTCATTAGTCAACTGCTCTCGCTATTTGCTTTACTAATGCATTATACTTTGCTTAAACTATCTGTTTGTTTATAGCTTGAATGGATTATTTGTATATTATAATGTTATGGACTAATGAGAAACTATGTTTCTCTTTTTGCTCTTTAGACTAGCTAAATTCTGTTTCGAACGTCACAGGAAGTGATATTTTGATTATACAAGGTTTAATTGTGCATTTTATTAATTTCTTAAATTGTGACGTATTTTACAGTTAGTTGGTTAATTTTTTGTAAGTACACACATTTTGTATCAGATTGATATAAGGGACTGGTCAAAATTCATCAAGACTTTGGACCGGTTCTAAACTGAAATTAACTATAAAAAAGTCCATTGGTTATACAAGTGTAGAAAAGGTGATGTCCAATTTTATTTTGCAAAAAAAAAAGTTGGTGTCCCATGTTTATTCATACAGTATAAACTGTCCTTCAAACCACAGTGCCAGACAGTATAAAAATAAAGAGATATGGTATGATTGCCAATGAGACAACTATCCACCAAAGTTCAAACGAAGGGGATGTAAGCAATTAAAAAGCAACCGCATACATCATTTAAATACATGTAATACTGACATGTGGTATGATGACCAGACAATAAAAGACACAAGGAAGGACAATTTAAATGTTGTGTGACAAATACAAAGAGATATTGTTATTATTTATAAACTTCAAATAAAATATTGTCTACATATATATATGTACATTTGTATGTACTGTACCTTAATCATTTTTGAACTTTCTATCACATGTCATTTTGTTTACTATAATTGCCCTCTTTGATTTTATCATAGAAGTGTTCACTTACAAATATATTTTTTTTACATCTACAGTATACATGTTATTCATTTTTATTTGTGTATTTTTTTTTGTGACATGTTTGTTTAGCTGTTTTTGATTAAAAGGAATTTTCATTGAAAAGAGTTAACATTATTATTATTACATATATCTCCTCCCGAACAAAATTGCGAAGGGATATTAAGATTCATCTATGACAACTTTTTATCATCCTCTGAAACACCTTTTTATACACATTGCAGCATCTTTACAAATTCAGCTGTGTTTGGAATAACAAACTTATCATTTTTGCAGAAATCGGTTTATAAGTACCGATTTATTTGTATTGTGTTTTTTTCAAGATAGAAATAATAGTTTTACTTTGTTTCTCCTGCAAACTGGAAGATGACTTGATAAGTTTTGTTAAAAATAATTTTGGGATAGAGCAGGTGCGATCTTTCTAATTCGCATCTTATGGAACAATTCAGGCCCTTTCACATAGAGTTTGTCACATTTGAAACTTATGGCATTATTCTTTGTTGTTCATGCTTAAACACTTGTCTTATAGCATTGCTGCATTGTGTAATAAAACCAAGAAATATGATTATAACAGTAGAGATGTTTTGGCATTGGTGGGTTATTTTTTTCTCTCGTCCATTTCAAAGGGATGAACATGTTCTTTCGAAAGTGAAGTGACAATCAGAAGACACTGGCTTTCTAGAATTACTAAAATTACACCCTCTAGTGAAATTACACAGAAGTTAAACTATGGAAGCGCTTATTGGTGTGTAAATTGATCACTAGATTGTGAATCAATTTAAAAGAGACTACAAAAGTTCTGGCCTTACTGGAAAATAAAACAAATAACATTTTAAGGGGGTAAATTTGTTTTTTTCTCCATAGGATTTACTTTATAGCAATTGTTAATCAACAGAATCTAATGCAATAACTAAAATACAGGATATGTTGAAAGATTTTTATTTACTTATTAATTTCCATATTATATAATGCGAATGACAGCAAAATATTGGGAACGGTTATGAGAATTTAATTCATATTTTCCTACCATTTCAGGAAGTCCAAATGACTTCAGAAAAACATGTACCTTGTGGACCGTGTAGGTTTGATGATGTCACGAAGGACGCAGGAAGTTGGTGTACTAATTGTGACGAAGGGTTGTGTGAAGATTGTGAAAACGTTCACAGAAAAATCAAAATATTAAGAAACCATAAGGTCATTTCAGTAGATGATTATCGTAAGATCGAAAATGTTTCCATTTCCTTGGTTTGTGAATATCATGGAGAAAACATAGAGTGGTTCTGTCAAAATCACGATAAAGCCCTGTGTATGGTTTGTGTCACATCAAATCACAAGTCATGTTCTGGTGTTATATCAATTAGTGTTGCCTCAAAAAATGCAAGACAATCAACTGCTTTATCTGACCTTGAAGAGGCAATTGAGGGAACACTTCGCAACGTGAAACAATTCACCAAGAATCGTGATTCCGCTACTAAGGAAATTGAAAAACAAGAATTGATGGCTAAAAACATTGTTTTTGAAACGAGAACAAAAATGAACGGCTACCTAGACAAGCTACAGGAAAAATTGTTGCGCAAACTAGGATCTATATCTCACACTTGTAAATCAAAATATAAAAATTTCCTTCAAAAGCTAGAATCAACAACAGAAATGCTAACCAAACTAAGGGAACAGACCCTTCACTTGAAACAATTTTCTTCTGACATACAAGTGTTTCTCGGAACGCGCCAGGTCAATAAGCGGATCGTTAGCGAGATCGAATCCATCAAGAGTGAAATTGGTGCTACCAAGGATTTTGAATTAAAAGTAGATATTCATAGTTTAATTGAGAATTTCTCAAAAAAAGTTGAAAACTTTGGGCAAATAAAGGTATTGGAAAGCTGTGCTGAGTTAGATTTCAGAGACCACAAAATTGTTCAAGCTCAAATTGAGACCAACGTCCCAGCATCAGGAATCATATCAGACATGAAGCTTCAGTTAATTAAAACATTCCAAATGAAGAGGGAAAATGAATATGTAATAGATGTTAGAGGTTGTGTCATATTGCCTAATGGTAATTTATTGATGACGAATAACTCAAAACAAAATCAGCTAGTAGAGTACAAATATACCGGTGAACACATGCGTGATATTCAAGTCTCGGCCTTGCCATTTTTTATTGCTGTGATAGATCCTAATCGTATTGCTGTGACATACGGGGACACCGCGAAATTCATGGAAATAAGAAATACTCATTCTTTTCGCGCCGAAAAAGAAATTCGATTACTTAGTTATTGCTATGGAGTATCACACGAGGATGGAAGACTTTATGTAAAAAGTGGAAAGTCTACAATACAAGTCATGGATCTATCCGGAAGACAACTGGAAACATTGAAACTATCCTCTGATAATGTGCTTAACATTACAACTAGCAGAGACAAGATATTCTACACAGATTACAAAAAGAACATAGTACATTGTTGCCGTTTGAATGGAGAAGAGTTATGGCAGGTTAAAAGGGAATCCGTTTCACATCCTTATGGTGTAACAGTAGACGATGACAGTAACGTTTATGTTGTAGGTCTTGTATCCAATAATCTAACAATTATACAACAGGATGGAAAAGACAGTAAGACATTACTGACAGAATCAGATGGACTATTTTATCCACAAGCTGTGGACTTTGATATGGATAAAAGAACACTACTCATATGTAATAAAGGAGGAAAGGTAGCAATGTACAAAGTCGTTTAACACTTTTAAATCATAGTGTATGAGAACATATCGTACATATCGCATGTTTACCTATAAGAAAACAAACAATATGACATTTTGTCCCTTATAAAAACTGGGATTCGTTTTGTTATATTTTTATATCATCATATGGTAATTAAGGGAGATTTCTTACAGTTCTGGTTGAAATTTTTATGATTATAATTTTTTTGTAGCTTACCTTTTGTATTAGGATATCTTTATATTAGATTAAAAAATCCAAGCGTCTGACTAAGTGAATAATGTGTTTTTCGCATGCATGAGGTTAATTGTATCTGTCTTCAAGGCGTTTGGTACTTAACTTCGATTTTTGCGTGGCAGGTTGCATTAGCTGGTCCTGAAAAAGTAAAATAACAAAAATACAGAACTCCAAGGAAAATTCAAATCGGAATGTCCCTTATCAAATGGCAATATCAAAAGTTCAAACACATCAAACGAACGGAAATCAACTGTCATATTCCTGACTTGGTACAGGCATTTTAACTCATGTAGAAAATGGTGGATTAAACATGGTTTTATAGCTAGCTAAACCTCTCATTTGTATTACAGTCGCATAAAATTTCATTATATTGACAACAATGTGTGAACAAAACAAACAAAACGGCACAGTGTAATTTACCGCCTTTTGGTTCTGAAATATAATTTGTGAAATAATATAAAAATAAGAAGTAGTGGTATGATTGCGAATGAGAAAACTATCCACCAAAGTTCAATAATGAAATAGTATGTTTTGAAACAGAAATTTTATGAATGTGAAGACCTTTCATTTGAATGAAGACATTCATGTCATTTGTATCTGCTGTACGAACATTAAGAATGTACTTCGGTGAAATAAATAAAAAACTAGAATTTAAAATTGATACTATAAGTTAGAAGAGCATTAGTTAAGGAACAAAATAAGCTAAAAATATTGATAGGTTATAGAGCTCCTTTTCGAGATTTTTTTTTTTTTTTAAATGGCGGGAAAAGGCTGACTCGGACTTTTACCTTATATTTGCATTGGTATTATTTGGGTATCAAATTGAAAGAAAGAAATCTAGATTTGCTTAAATTTTAAGTTAATGAAGTCTTATATGAAAAGAAAAATGGGTATTATGGATCAAAATATTTTTACCCTGTATCGTAGGAAAAAACTAAGGAGTCCGAACATCTGATAAGAATTCCTAAAATTGACCTAAGTGCATCCTTAACGGTACCAATTTTTCTGCACCAGAATCGCATTTCGAGAACCAATTTCTTTTCACGTATGCTTGAGGACAAAATCTTTAAAAATCAAAAAAATGTAGAGACTTTGAGGAGCTGATTAAACCAAAAGGACATAGCCAAATCCGGACAAGGAATCAGAGCTTGACATGATGGAGATATATTCCTTGATTTCAAATGACAGCAAATATTAATCAAACAATATCCGTATTTACATGCAAGTACCAATCCAGTGATAGTAAAAACATTACCTGTACCAATTTCACTGTGCCTGATACGCCAAAATATTTAAACATCCAAAACTTAATACAAACGTTGAGGAACCCGATTAAATTAATCGGGATAAGTCCCCAAAAATGTCTTGCTACACAGAAATATTTTTTTTTTGTGGTGACAGTAAATACAATGTAGTTTTCGATTAAAGCCGTTCTTACTCATAACAATGATGTATCAATTTTAACGAAATGAACGCACTTCTAGAAAATTGAAATCGTCAAGTTTATCATAGATCCTAGTTTCTTAAAATTCGTTTAGTATCATTATGGTTTGCGTTTGGCAAAACCTTTCTGATTTTTTTTGGTCCTCAATTCTCTTCAACTTGTTACTTGATTTAACTTTTTTGATTCGATTGAGACAGGAAATCTTTGTACACTACACTCGCGTCTGGCGTAAACATTTTTTGTAAATAAAATTAAGGAGATGTAGTATGATTGTCAATGAGACAAATATCCACCAGTGTTGAAATAAAGTGGAAGTAGGCATTTATTGGCCATTGTACGACCTTCAACAACTCATACCTCGACTATAAAGAGACTAAAAAAAGTGAAACAATACAAACGAGAAAAACTAACGGCCTCATTTATAACAAAACAATTTACGGAAAACAAATATGACAGACATAAACCAACGACAACAAATGAACTACTGGATCCTAACTTTAAACATGCACATAAAGAATTTGCGTGGTTCAACATGTTTGTGACCGCTCAACACTCCAGATCCCCCATAACCTGAGACAGTGCTGTAACAACACAATATCAGAAGAGACTGTAAACATCAGTTGCAATTTGCTTAAATAAAACATGAAAACTATTCCGTATTGAAAAAAGAAAAAGAATTTTCTTTTTGGTGCTCAATTTTTATTTTCGTCTCGCTTGTCCCCACATGCAGAAACTTCATATTTGGTAACATTAGTTCAACGCGTGATGTGTTTATGCACACTTGTGTAATATACATATACAGACCAGAAACAAATACCATAGTAATGGGTTTGATCGAATAACCGATTGTTGTTTGCATAACATTTCTTTGTAAGGAAATCAGCAACAACGAATGTTGTAAGAATGTATTAACGTGCAACGAGCGCCGTACTGTCCATACACGAGGCATCGAATAGTAGGTCCCCATTCCGACCGAACGTGACTGCACAATTATACATCCTGCTAGGGTAAACGGACGGGCCTTCTTGGAAAATCATATTTCTCAATATGAGAAACTTGAACTAATTTTAAACTTCATGGACACTCTCAGGAAGGGGGCATGAAAGGATGTAATAAAATATTGTTTACTAGAATGATGCAGTGATCAAATTTGCTCAATCATCAAAAAACAATCATTCATACGCGGGTTAGTAAGTGCGTTTGCTTCTAAATATTTGTCTTTTCTTTCTGTCGTTCTAGAACTTCGTTTTTATACTTTAATTGGTATCCAAATGCTTTTGCCCCGAACATCACCGAGTAGATGTTATTTGTAAAATTTTAATTAGCGCCGTAAATTGTCAAATATGTCATTATAAGGTTACATTCTCGAAGGAGTCTGTATCCCACAAATGGCATTTGACTTTCGCAGGTAGGTTAAGGAACTTTGAAACGTAAATAGTGGCAAAATTATGATAATTCAAGAATAAAATTGTTTAAACCAAAATTCAGGAATCTAAGTTGTTGAATTTATATATTCGTGTAGTAAGGATTCAGTAAACCGAAATTTTGGTCATGATCGCCTAGGTCACGTGACTTCTACAGGGGTAAAATGCCTTAACCAAATTGGCAAAAAACGTGTTACTACACTGAATAAAAATCAACAAACTGTTTTTTTAAACGAATCCTTGTGCTTTCCCGTTAATTAAAAGTGCTGCGCGATTTTCCAGAAGTGAACATATTAAATAAAAATAATATTTTTAGTTAACTCGGCAGCATATAACGTTAAATTTGTACATAGTTTCGTTCCTATTTTGATTACAGTTTCATATTCAATAAGCGCGCAGCACTTTTCTGTTAGGTTTTATCTATAGCTTTCTATTTCAATTTATTTTTTTGAGAAATATCGTCTCTGGTAACCCGCTTTTTGTGAATTTAGAATTGGTAACTATGGTTTCGATAAATTGTCTATGTTATTCAAGCGCACTGAAGACTCGTACAATCATCAAAGAACCGCAACTCTGTTGTCACAGTTGACGATGCGGGAATATTGACATTGACATTATAATACCTCAACAAAAATTGGTCCTATTGACAATATATGTTGAAATCGTTTGACCTTTGCAGTAACAAATTTAAACTAATGCTTGTTTCCAGCCTCCAAGTTGAAACAAAAAAGTTTTAGGTAGGTATTCGCCTTTTCCGAATCTATATATAGGACCAGTGGCGGATCCAGAACTTTACATAAAGGGGGGGGGGGGGGGGGGGGGTGGGCTGCTGACTGACCTAAGGTGGGTCCACTCCAGTCATGCTTCTGTGATTCCCTATATAATCAACCAAATTTTTCCAACAAAAGGGGGGACCCTATACCAAATTAGCATTAAAAGCCATACAGCAACCCAGCGTTCGCGATCCCGAGGGTCTTTCAGCATCATGTGATACTTTATTTCTTGAAAGTGATGCTATCTCAGTGGCGGATCCAGAAATTTTCATAAGATGGGGCCCACTGCACAGACTGCCTAAGAAGGGGCCTGCTCAAGTTATGCTTCAGTGATTTCCTATATATATAAACAACCAAATTTTCCCCAGAAAAGGTGCGCCCAGGACCCCCCATTGAATCCGCCTCTGTATCTGAATTAGTTTTTGTATAGATAATGTTTAATATCAATGTGATGCTATAATTTTTATAATAATAATTCTATATTGTCATATATATAAGTGACATAAAATAAAAACCTTAACAAGATGATATTTCTAATTTCCCAGTTTACCAAGATGCTAAATAAAGTGTCTGGGGAGAACACTGTGACCTATAGATGTTAACTTCTACTTCATTTGGATCTGTTCATGCTGTGAATTGTTGGCAATCATAATATGTTTTCCAGTTTTGATATTACTTATTCTATATTATTATGTAAGAGAGGAAAGCTAGATACAAATGTAAATCTTTTTTATTTGATACTTGTCTGATTCCGTGGGTGACATTTGTTTTTCAATATTTTTCGAAGACACCTCCATGTGACATACATGACATCAATTTAGCCTTAGGCTGAATAATTATAATATTTATTTTCCCTTTTAATACATGTAACATATTTCATACAGACTGTTATATAATTAAACAGAATGAAACAAAAATGAACTTTATTCTGGTAGTACAACATGTCGAAAAGAAAGAACTTCTGTAGCTGTCTCATGATATATGATTATGTACACAAACAATGAACAATGTACACCCTACATCTCCTTTTATTCATATACATATTAAAGAACTACAACATGTACAGATGTACAAAGTAGCATACAGAATAAAATAAGGGTATATACATTTGTATATATAAGATTTACATTTGGGCACAGAACCAACAGGCCAGGTTTTTAAAAAACTTCTTTTAGGTCTCTCAGA